CCAGGTCACTAGCAGGGATTAGAACTGCGCCCATATGGGATCCCCGCATGTTCAAGGTGAAGACTTTAACCACTAGGCCACCAAGCTGGCCTTGTATAGTTTTAACAATAGTGCATAAAATGATACCTTACACAATGGAACCATTATGAGTAACTTGGCTTCAGACACATTTACGGTATTTCACATTCTCTCTAAGTTCACTTAGATCTTTGGGATTTATACAGATAGCATAGGAAGCAATAGAATATATTAATAGAAGTATTCAGACAGGGAACAGCAATCAATACATGTTCTAAAACATCAGTGATTAGTGAGATGAAGTAAAGTATAATTGCAGGGATAGATACGTTGGTTAAAATGGGAGAATTATTCTATCATTGAAATGGGAAGTAACATGAAATAGACCCTGTGGTTTATAAGAATCTAACGTATGATAACTAGGAAGCACAGAACAATGTGAGAAGAAGGGTTTCCTTTTGAATAGTCGAAGAATTTAAGAAACACAAGGGTGAGTGTTAGGCACCGTGGCCTAGGTGGCCACTTGGTACTCTGACAAATACAAATATCCCAAGTGACGTGCTCACCACTGTGCCACGCACATTTTCCTGTAATTGTTTTTTAGTGGATGGGTGTTTATTCTTAATATGCATTTTCTACATTATTATTTAACTTTGCAAATTTCTCTTAATATTTTTTAGAGTTATCCAAAATAGGGACCCTACGCCATAAATTGGTGTCTAAATCCTCACCTTGCTTGCACCAGGATCCCATATTCGCACCAGTTCATATCCCAGTTGCTCCATTTCCTATCCCGCTCCCCCCTATTGGGGCCTTGCACCTGTGTGTCAGCTGTTTTCAGCCATTGCGGCCCCTTGCAGAATGAACCAGTGGTTGGAAGATCTCTCTCTGTCTCTGTAAATCTGACTTTCCAATAAAAATAAATAAATCTTTAAAAAATAGTCACAGCATGCTTCATGAATTTTAGAATGAAAATCATTCTAGTTCAACTTTCTTTCTTTTTGGATAAAGATGTAGCAAAAAAAAAAAAAAAAAGAGGGACCCAAAACAAACTGCCAGACGTGACCAATAAGTTCCAGACTGTGGCTGTGGCTGCACAGAGTTGAACTGGGATAGTAGGGATTTCGGTCTAGCTTCTTACGCAAGGGCTCAAGGCCACTTCTCCAAGCTGCCTTGAAGACGTCAGCCTGGTAACTTAGATCTCTGTCTTGTGTTTAAAATGACCTGGATTTTGTTTCACAACTCAGGATAATTTTAGGTTGTTTCTTTGACAATCTGAAATTTTGTTAAAACAGCTCGATTGTCTAGACTTACTTTTCTGCCCACAATTCTGTATGTGATGCTAATCTCACTGCATACTTGTGGAAGAAATAATACAAAGGAAGACATGTGTTCAAATTCAAAACACTGGACTTGGGAATGTTATCCCTCCTATATGCTCATTTCCTCTGGGCTCTGCTCCAGTCCTTTCTAACACTAAGAATCTCATTCGCGGTTGAGTGTACAAAGCCCTAGATTCCCACAGATGACTAAGGTTTTGTGCTCTTGATCATGATACTTCTCAATGGTTTCTGCTTAAGTTGTTGATTTGGTAATCAAAAAGTGGGAAGGATCAAAGATCTCTTCTGTAGAAAACTTAGCCATGATACAGTGTTCAGTCCTCCGCCTTTCATTTTGTTCCTTAAATGTGGGGAAAAGAAAGTGAAGTTGCATATACCTGGAGGTTGCTCATGTTGTGTTTCAGCTAACATTAGTGCTACAAATGGGTGAGACTGATGATCTGTAGTTAATTAAATTTTATTTATCATTGATGCCACCTGGTGGCCAGAAAGTACATTTTGTTTTACACATATACACTGCACCAGCCTTTGTAAAAATAACCTTGATGTTTCAAGTATTTTTAATTGTGATGTGTTAATGCAATAGGAGAGAGTTCAGAGAATACTAGATTATTCTATTATGGAAGTAATTTTAAAGGTTTCTGTAGGAATCTAGGTCTTAAATAGTAGGTAGTAAATAAATTCCCCGTGAGCAATGCAGGCATGTCTGTCTGGTCTCCTTCCCTGGGTTTTGCCGTGCTGACAGCTGTCGCTGAGGCAGCTGACGGTCTCAGCGCCCCTGCTGGCTGACTCAGCATGAGCAGTCCTGTTCCTCTGCTGTGATTCATGATGCTGATGAGAGTCATGCTCCTGTCGTCTGTGTGAGGCACAGCATTCCTGGAAAGAGTATATAATACTACTAAACCAATATTCCTTCAAAAGACATGGATAGGTAAGTGGATGAATGGCTCATAAAGTTGATTTTTGGGGAATTATTGAACTTTTTTCTTTTTTAATAGGCAAGGAAGGCATACCTGATTCCATGAATACCCTGCTTAATAGCATGTTGTGGCAACATCTTAGTGGTGGGTTTTCTGCTTGGCCTGTTTGTGTATTTTAATGGTGGTGAGAGTTCTGGTGGGCAGGCTGCTGTTAAGCTTGAGTACAAGTGAATACAGTCCAGCTTAGAGGCTTAGCAGGCCCAGCACATGACTTTGAGGTCAGGAATTCCTAATGCGATTATCTTCAAGGGAGCTCTCCGTCTGCATGAATATACTTTAATATAAAAGAACAAGAATTGGGCCCAGTGCGATGGCCTAGCAGCACTGGGCCTCATATGGGCACTGTTTCTAATCCCAGCAGCTCCACTTCCCATCCAGCTTCCTGCTTGTGGCCTGAGAAAGCAGTCGAGGACGGCCCAAAGCCTTGGGACCCTGCACCTGTGTGGGAAACCTGAAAGAGGCTCCAGGCTTCTGGTTTTGGATTGGTATAGCACCGGCCATTGTGCTCACTTGGGGAGTGAATCATCGGATGGAAGATCTTCCTCTCTGTCTCTCCTCCTCTTTGTATTTCTGACTTTGCAATCAAAATAAAATAAATCTTTAAAAAAATAGAGCAAGAATTAAAGAAACATAGGAACTTGCCATGTCCATTTAAATAAATCTGTTTTCCTTTGTACATTCTTCAGCTGACTGAAGGCTTATGGAAAATGACGTTTGACTAATGAGACAGCTTAGACACTAATGCTTTCTAATAAGCAGGATAAATTTGCCCCTTCCCCATCACTTAGCCATAGGATTCTAAGAATTTAGACTTTGCAGATGTGGCTTATGCATGGAATGCACAGGTCAAAGTAAGAAGAAGCTTGTTTTTCATTTTGAAGTAAGGTTAAGCGTAATGTATAATCCACAGATTTGATCATTTTTATGGTTTTCAGGTCTGTTTGATTAGAGCCAAGTCATTCAACTCATGCCTCAGGTTAATTAAGATCTAAATTGCTCGTGATGATCTACCAAGTGCAGGGGAACTGCGTGTGGTCATACAGAACCTCACTGCGTATTGTCAGTCCTGGATATTTCTAATGTGCGTGTCCAGACTTAGCAGAGGCTCTCAAGTCACTGTCCGGGAGATGGAGGGAGTCTCGGCAGTTGGGTGTGAGTGTTCTCTGTTATGTCAAAAACTTGGCAATGCTATCCAAGTTTCTCTTCGTGTGTTTGAGCATGACTTCATAAACCCATGGGAGAAAATTATATCTGTTCCATAATGTTGCTAAGATGAGATAGAGGCTGATAAACATACATTCAGTGTTTGAACATGCCTTCCCTTCTTCAGTTTTCTTTGCTCCTACTAGCGTAAGGACTGGCTTCAACCTTTTCCCTAAGCTGAGACACAATCCTTTCTAAAAAAATATACAAAAAACTTGATTCGCTAAGCATTTATTTTCCTCCATGTGCACAGCCACTGGCCACACTCACGCTGTAAGAGGAATCAGATTTGGAGCCTTCCCGCAAGGAGCTTTGATTCTTAATGAAAAAAGCAGCTGATAGGATGGTAGACGATGAAGTGAGTCACTGTGCTGCCGTGAATTATTCAAAGGATAAAGCTGCTTCTTGCGTGTGCGAATCTTTGCAGAGGAGGAGGAGTCTGAGATGAGCCTGGAGAAAGTCATTGAGAAGGTAGCATTACAGATGGACACGTGGTGGGAGCCAACAAGGTGAAAATGTTGAAGGAATTCCAAGCAAATTGTGGCAGAGCAAAAGGGCCTGTGTTAGTAGCAGAGAACAGAAACTCAAAATGGAGCACGGCGTAGGGTGAAGGCATTTGTGTTAGTGTGATAGTGAGGCACCACCCTCCATTTCTCAAAAGACAAGTTTGGCCTTGAATGCCTTTGCTTTTCCTTGGTGTTCAAGTTTTATTAAATATTACCTTTACCTCTGTTTATTTTTCATGTTGTAAGAACCAGTTTATACCCATTGCTCATTTACAGACCATCTTCTTCTAGTCCAGAGTTTCTCTGCAGGAGCCATATTGACATCTTGGCTCAGGTGGTTCTTTATCATGTGACTACATCTCATAATCCTTGGCCTGTAACAGCCAAATGTCAGTAGCATGTCCTTACTCCCATCAGGAGAAAACCAAAAATGTCTGTCTTGAGAGAGATTTGCTCATACTTGGTAACTACTGATCTAGACAAATGTATTCACCTGGTGTCCTGGGCACAGTTAGGCTTCTGGATTGACAAGTCTGTTTCTTAGGCGTTCAGCCATTAATCCTTAGGATTTTGTACAGGATGTGTCTGTTTTCTAGAGGTTAAGGTGTTTCCTGTATTGAGGGATAAGATGCCTAAATTGAGCCTCAGGAGACCTGGCCGCTCCTCTTCACTGCGGTGCCGAGAGGTGGTGTCAATTGAAGAGTCCTTGGCTCTTCCTCTGATTTCTTGTCTAAAATGGCCCAAGTGACCTCTATGCCTCTTTTCCGCTTTGACCGTGTGTCCTGGTTTCTGGTTGATCACAGAGCTTTATTCTGCCACATTTTTAGGAATTTGCCACAAGTCACACAAGCTATAAGACTGTCCGAAGTATTAAATAAGCAAAATAAATGAAGATAAGTGTCTCAGGCTTAATAGTTTCATGTACTAATCACTACATTTTCTTTCTTTTCTAGATTATTTAAAGAACCTCTTAGAAGACTCTGGAGATTATAGAGACACTCAAGGTGAATAACTTGTGGTAGCATGTATTGCAGCTTTAGCATTGCACTTATTAGACCTAGAAGTTATAAATATACTGATAACAAGTCTATATACAGGGCTTTTTTCATTTATTTGAAGTTTTGAAGCTTTCTTCGAAGCTCTGTAATTTACTGCAGTGGAAATAGTGATGCTGCAAGGGAGTTAGAGTGTGTGAGCCCAGAAGGCGTCAGTCAGCCCTCGCAGAGAGCAGCCCCTGATGTCCTGGCGTCCGGAAGCTTCTCTGTGCCCTTGGTCCGTGGGCATTCAGCTTCCCTGCATGTCTGCTTCATGCATCCGGAAGATCTTTTCAAACTGGAAGTCATGAGTTCATGAGGCAGTGAGACAATACAAATGGAGGATAAAGTCTAAAATAGCTCACTTTGGGAATTTTTACCCTCACTACCTTTCCACGCTCCTGCCAGGCTCCTGGCTTCAGCCTGGAACATTCCTGACTGTCAGAGGCATCCGGGATGTAAATCACAACTGGAAGATCTCTGAATTTCTCAACCTTTGAAAAAATACAAATGACATAGTATAAAATAATACATAATCCATGAGACATAATGTTTTATGAATTTTATATAGCTATACATTATGTAAGGACATCTATGATGATATATAATTTGTAATTTGTAAAATAAATATAAATTTTATAAAATATAGGGAAAATATTTATTTTAAAAAGAAGAAACCCCAAAAAATTTTTTTAAAAAAATTAAAGTTCACGGTCCGATGCAATAGCCTAGTAGCTGAATCCTCACATTGCATGAACAGTGAAGTATGCTGCTTGACAAAAAAAAAAAAAGGCAGAGAAATTGTGAGTAGCTGTGGATGAGGCTGCCTGAGAGTCAGGGAAGGCGAGTAAGTAGACAGATACAGCTTGGAAAAGTAGGCAGAAGGATTGAAGCCATAGAGTCAGAAAGGTCCCTTCGAGCGACAGCTTGAGGAGCGGAGGAACAGGCAGAGCTGGGAGGCTGGGCCAGCTGATAGCAGCAGCTTTCCATCCCCAACTCTTCAGCTTGCTTTTTTTTTTTCTTTTCTTTTCTTTTTTTTTTTTTTTTTAATTGGAAAGGCAAATATACAGAGAGGAATATCTTCCTTCCAACAGTTCACTCCTCAAGCTTCCACAACACCTGGAGCTGAGCCAATCCGAAGCCAGGAGCCAGGAGCTCTTCCAGGTCTCCCACGTGGGTGCAGGGTCCCAAGGCTTTTGAATGTCCTCAACTGCATTCGCAGGCCACAAGCAGGGAGCTGGATGGGAAGCGGGGTTGCTGGGATTAGAACCGGCGCTCATATGGGATCCCGGCATGTTCAAGGCGAGGACTTTAGCCACTACTCTATCATGCTGGGCCCTCTTCAGTTTTGTTTCATCTTATGCACGGAGAACTCCAGTACGCCAGAAAGCAGGGCACGTGTCCAGGATAATATCTTAAATATGTACTACGATAACTGTGGCAGTTGCATAATTTTTGGAATTATGTTGGGATCTCTGAAAATACTTCTATCCCGAAGTGAGAGTGACACATGTTTAAAGAATGCAGATTCCTCCAAGATGGGTAGAAGAACCAAATGAACCTCCTGGTAGATTACACTAACTGAACAACAACCCTCACCTACTTTGTTTTATTTTATTGTTAACTGCTGTCACTGCTCTGACAGCCCTGGTGGGACACATGCCCCTGTTTCACACTGTGATCATTTTTCACACTCAGTAAAGGCTACTGGATCTTCCTGGTCATTTTGAAAATTGTCTTGTACATATGCACGTGTGCCTGGCAGTGGCGTGGGTCAGGTAGTGCACATTACCTTAAGTTGACAACACAGCATCCCCAAAACAGACAAAGGGCAGACTATATATCTAGTTAGGGAGATGACAAAGCTGAAGCATCAAATCTACTTTTTGAAAAGTAAGTAGTTATGGGTCCAGCATGGTGGCCTAGCAGCTAAAGTCCTTGCCCTGAATGCACTGGGATCCCATATGAGTTCCATTCTAATCCCAGCAGCTCCACTTCCCATCCAGCTCCCTGCTTGTGGCCTGGGAAGGCAGTCGAGGACAGCCCAAAGCCTTGGGACCCTGCACCCGCGTGGGAGACCAGGGCAAAGTTCCTGACTCCTGGTTTCGGATCAGCACAGCACTGGCTGTTGTGGCCACTTGGAGAGTGAATTATCGGATGGAAGATCTTTCTGTCTCTCCTCTCTTTATATATGACTTTCCAATAAAAATAAATAAATCTTAAAGAAAAAAGAAAAGTAGTTAACTGAAAATAACTCGCCTCATAAAATGGTGCTTGCAGTGCCTTATGGTCTGTTAAATGCTTCTTTTATTTCTGATTTATACCTCTTAGAATCAAACTAAGAAAAGAAAATTCAGGAACTGGCATAATGGCATAGCTGGCTAATACTCCACCTTCAGCACTAGATTCGCATATGTGCATTAGCTCCATGCTGAGGCCCTGAGAAAGCAGTGGAGTACGGCCCAAAGCCTAGGGACCCTGCACCTGCATGGGAGTCAGAAGAGGCTCTTTGCTCTTGGTTGCAGATCAGCTCAACGTGGCCATTTGGAGAATGAAACAGTGGATGGAAGATCTCTCTGCAGCTCCCCTTTTTACTCTGTAAAAGCTGCCTCTCAAATAAAAATAAAATGTTAAAGAAAAATGAATGTGAGCCCCGACATTTTAAAATAATTATTTGTCATAGTTCTTGTTTACTGCATCATGATCCTTTTCCCTCACAATCCTCTCATGCAACATAACTACACGGCTAGTTCGTCGCTTCTCGATGAAACCCTTTATTCATGCTTGTGAACTTGGACAGGGTAATCAAATCTTAGTGTAAAAAATCTTGACATTTATGCTGTGATAAACATACTCTACAATGTCTGTGTAGAGTCTGTTTTGGGTTCATTTGGCCCTAGGTTTGTTATTGCGTTTCTCCTCTGGCTTTAACTTCATTGACGCTAATCATCTGTGTTTTCTCCTGCTCTCATTTAACCGAGCTCCACCAGAGGTTGGTTGCTGAGAAGTGGCTATCTCATCTGGAATGACTTAATGTTGCCCTCTGTTTGTAATATCCAATAGAGTAGTATGTAACCAAAGGCCTTTCTGTTCCTGTGTATTTTAGATGCCCTTGCTGTCGTGATAGAAGTAGCCAACCATGCCAATGACACCATGAAACAAGGGGTAAGTGTCTTGCTGTCAGAGGCCAGTGCAGGGGTCTTGGTATTAGTGGCCTTCACATGGTCTGCACTATCTCTCTATAGGACAACTTCCAGAAACTTATGCAAATTCAGTATAGCTTAAATGGACACCATGAAATAGTGCAGCCTGGCCGGGTAAGTGTTTTGGACTAGCTGTTTTTCATTTCCTTTGTGAAAATGAGTTATTTGTTTTTGTTACTCTTCATTGAACAAACCTGGGTTGCTCTCTGCATTCAGAAGTCACTAGGACAGAAATGCAGTTTAATTAGGAGCGTGGCAAGGGACCCCACAGAGTATCTGATGCACTAGGATAGTTAATTGCATAATATCAGCTGCCCTCATGCAGCTTTGGAAACAATTTCATTTAAAATCTTTAATGTGAGAAAGGATTATGTAGGGAGGGAGCAGATTGGTAATTTGATTCTCTTCATAGAGCACAGAGGTGGCCTGGAGAATGAGTTGAGGAAAATGATGAAATTGATGAAATGTAGTTTCAGGATATTGGCTGTCCCTGTGGACCAGCAGTACATGCTCAGTCGATCACATGTCAGTCCACACAATACCTCTCAGGGAAGTATTGCATCTATGAGACTGTGCTTGCTGCTCTAATTTCTAAATGATTTAGAAGGCTTAAAGGGCCATCAAGTTTATAAATCATCACAAGCAATGTGTCTCCCCCATTCCCCGCCACAGACAGAAAAAAGCTTAGGGAAGAGAAAATTGGAAAGAAAATTATATGTATATTGTAGTTATGTTATGTTGGTGGGAATAACTAAGTGTTTGCTTCGATACATCAGGTTTTTCTCAAAGAAGGAATTCTGATGAAGCTCTCTCGGAAAGTCATGCAGCCCCGAATGTTTTTCCTGGTAAGCAGTCTTGGGTGGTTCTAATTTCTCCAGTGTAGGGATAATTGCTCGATGGAAGGAGATCTGCAGAGAGACAGGGAAAGAGAGAGAAAGTGCTCTTCCATCTGGTTCATTCTCCCATTGGTCACAATAGTTGGATTTTGTCCAGACCAAGGGGAAAAGCCCAAATTTCATCCAGTTTTTTCACATGAGAGTCAGGCGCCCAGACAACTGGGTGCAATAGCAAGGAGCTCCACTAGAAGCGGAACAGCTGGGACTCCAGCCTCTGCTCCAATATGGGATGCAAGTTTTACATGCAGCAACCTAACCTACTATTCTGTAATGTAGACCCCTGAAAAAAGCTTATATACAACCCATAGACATGGCACATTCAAATATCAGTTTTGCTGGCATCCTTGAATATCTGTATTACCAATTTGCATCTCAAATATAGGAAATATAAAGTCTGCTATGATTCATAATTAGAAAATTATTTCCTCATATATTCTATTTTAATCCATTTGGGAGAATTAATTTAATCATTTATTTAAGCAGATGATAATACTTTTTTGGAATTTAAATTCAGAACACATAAATCTGTTACAGAACTTGCAAAAGAAGCACATTTTCTAGAAATCACTACTTTAATACTAATCTAATGAGCCATTCCAGGCGATCCTAATTTAAATATACAGAACAGAATTGCTCTATGTTATCCAGATAGCTGTTAGTAAAAGAAAAATGCTTTTCTTGCATTATTGTGTCTTAATTCACATCCTTGTAGCTAAAATTTCTTCCTTTGTCCTGTGGAACATTTGTGCTTTCAGTTTAATGATGCCTTGCTCTATACGACACCAGTACAGTCTGGGATGTACAAACTGAACAACATGCTCTCATTAGCTGGAATGAAGGTCTGTGAATTTATGCAAAGAATGTTTTTAACTCAGTATGTTTACATATTTGGAGACAATTCTGTAATTTAATCACAGTTAAAGTTTTGGCAAGTCCCAAGAATATGGCTGGCTGTCAGTGTACTCAGTGGAGGGGTTGTTATGTAACTTTGGACGGGTAACTGGGAGTGAGGGAGATTGAAGGAGTCTTGATGGAACATAGTCGTAGAGAAAACTGGACGGGAAAGTTGGTTGTGCGGGTCAGCATTTTCTGCAGTCCATATGTGAGATCCTCCGTAGGTTGCATTTACTTACATTTTTGTGCTTTTTTCTAGGTCAGAAAACCCACCCAGGAAGCATATCAGAATGAATTAAAGATTGAAAGTGTAGAACGATCCTTCATTCTCTCTGCCAGGTGACTTTTTAAAATACATCAAAAGATGAATACTTGCCAACAAAACAGATTCAGATATCTCTGGCATTTATGAACTGTTGACTTTCTCTTGCTTTAATTCCTCACACTTCTTTCTCAGAGTTGACTTTTCATTTAAAGTGAATATTTTTTTTCCCCCCTCAGGAGGTTTATTTGAAAGGAAGAGTTAAAAGGAAGGGGAGACAGAGAGAGATCTTCCATATGCTGATTCACTCCCCAGATGGCCACAATGGCCACGCTAAGCAATGTTGAAATCAGGAGCCAGGAGCTTCATTTGGTTCTCCCATGTCGGTGGCAGGGACCCCAGCTTCTGCTGCATTCCTAGGTGATTAGCACCTCACTAGATCAGAAATGGAGCAGCCAGAATGTGAACTGCCACTTAAGTGAATGACAATGTTGTGGGCAGCGGTTTAACTGTATGCCACAATACCAGACCCTTAATGTGAGTGCTTCAAAGCTTTGTGCAACGGAGCATGATATTTTTAAAAACAATGAGTACTTTATAGCTTACTGGGATATTTTTCTGTATTTCTTTTTTTTTTTTTTTTTTAAGTTTTATTTTTATTGGAATGTCAGATATACAGAGTGGAGGAGAGACAGAACCAAGTGGCCACAACGACCACTGTGCTGATCTGAAGCCAGGAACCAGGATCCCCCTCCGGGTCTCCCATGTGGGTGCAGGGTCCCAAGCCTTTGGGCCATCCTCTACCGCTTTCCCTGGCCACAAGCAGGGAGCTGGATGGGAGGTGGAGCCGCCGGGATTAGAACCGGCGCCCATATGGGATCCCAGCACATGCAAGGTAAGAACCTTAGCCACTGGGCCACCACGCCAGGCCCTTTGTATTTCTTTTTTAAAAAGCTTAACAAACCTGTGACATAGGTATCAGACTAAAATGAAAAATTAAAGAACAATTGAGTTGCTCTTAACCAGTTTCAGAAAACTGTAGTGATACTTTAGAATGGGACAAAAGAGTCATAGCCATGCCAAGAAGACACTAGAAAAGGAGAAACTATGCCTTTTACGAATGAGGCTCATGCGATAATTGAGACACACCACTGGTCTTTTGAAACTCATTGACTTCCACAAACACCACTATGTGGCAGATGGTTGTGCCTCATTACAGGGGTCGATAGGAAGAACCTCCACAGAGCACTTTGCATACTGTTTTTTGAACATGACATATGGGTCTCTTCTTTTGCTCTTTTTCTTGGTGCTTAACCTACAGCAGTTATCGTGAATTCAGAGTGACTTCAGTACTTACAGAACACACACAGCACAGCTAACAGGGAAAGAAACTGCCTAATGGCCACCTACCCCAATGTCACTCTGGCTGCTTTGTAGAAGATAGCTCATGAATACTAGGCTATAGTTGATGCTATCTGGGATAAAGTATTAAGAGGTGACTAGAATCAGTTAGAAAGCCAGTAAGATTACCAGTGAGTTGAATGTAGAATATGCAAAAGAAAGTGTAAAAGTTGGAAAATTCTCACTGGAAGAAATTTCCAAGATAGAAGTTGATTTGGGGAAAAAGAGCTAAAATGTATTGAATGCCACCATTATGTTGTGGTCCTTTTCTGAATTCCTCTAGCTGCACTAAGGAAGGTATGGAGCTTGAACCTGATTTCTATTCACTCAGCCTGTCCATCCCTACTCTGCAACACTTGGGCCTGCTGATAACTCTCCACGTATGCCAGCCTATCCCACACCCTTCTGCCTTGCCTGAAGTTCATCCTTTGATTTGTGAAGGGATGTGGAGGCACCACGATACAGTGGATAAGATTACATACCATTACAAAAATTGTATACTTAGAAATAGTAGCACAATTCAGTGTCTTTGTGTAGGTACTATAGAGGTATGAACCTTAGAGACCAGAAGGTATGAACTAAAGAGTGGGAGAGTTACCCAGAGTAGTCTTTGAGGGACAGCTGAGATAGATGTTGCAGAACCACCTTGGGGTTTTGGCATTTATTCTGACAGGCACAGAAACAACTGGATGCTTTATGCCAGGAAGTGATGTAATCAGATTTTTAAAGAAAATCTTAGAAGAGAATCATACTGCTATTTGGAATATAGTATGGGTGGTAGGGTAACAGAAATGATTCCATGTGAATTTTCCAGCCAATTCACTGTGCAGTGGAGTAACTAGAAGTGGAGCAGCTTTGAGTAAGGAATCAGAAATTTAGTTTCCGAGGTCTATACTGAATGCATCCCTGGCCCAGCCTTAGCCATTCTAGGCATTTACTCTCCATCTGTCCATCTTCCGTTGTCCCTGCCTTCCTTCTCTTTTCTTACCACTCCCTCTCCTCCCTCCCTGTCTGTCAAGAAAAAAAAGTTCACAATTAAAAAAGAAAAAGAAGCCATCATAGCAATTTATTTAAGATTGTAGATTTCTAAAGAAAGCAAAAGGCGTATATCTGGAGGTACCCAGCTTAGCAGTGGTAACCAAAGCTAGGAGACTGCCTAAGGGTGACACAGAGCTCAGCATTCCCTGTCAAATCCCTGTAATTCTTTGAGTTTTAACTTTCTTATCACTTCTGCAAAGACTCCCTTACTACTCAGATAAAGTAATTTACTGCTTCCGTGTAATTTATCTTTTATATTTCTTATGATAAATTTTAACTTTTTTTTTTTTTTTTACCTCAATGAAGTATGTGCTCTTACAAATGAGGTATATTGTGTGTACCTGGTGCCTGGCTTTCTATTCGAGCAGTAAACATAACTCAGATGAGCCAGAGTAACGCAGCCTTTGAACAGAGTAGCATCCTGGTTCATATCAGTGGTAGTTGATATCATTGCTATTACAGCAAGGGCTGTCACAGCGCAAATCTACTTTTTTCTTTTTCAGTTTTCCCCCTTGCTAGTGCATCCAAATTGATAGGAAAAAGGAACTTATTGATGCAAGTTTACATTCTGGTAACATATATTCTATAAAGAAAGAATCTTTAAGTTAGCCAGCTGTCAGTCCAAGGAAGATGCTGATTCTTTTGCCCTACGTGTTACCAAAGGAGACCTGGGTGTCTCTTCTGGATGCTGTGGGCAAATGTGTGTGGTCTGTGGGAAATGTGTTATCAAAAGCTAGTAAACATTGTTTTGGCAGAACCCCACACAAGAGAGAGCCAGGAGTGGCTAAATGAATGAACAGCATATGTGACATGATTTGTACAGTCAAATCACATTCCACACGCTCCCAGGGCTCCAGAAAATGCCAACAGCAATTCTCAAATTAGCCATCTGCCTCTCTGTTTTTCCCTGCTTCTTCCAATAAGAAACAGGAGGGAGTGATGGTAATATTTTATGAATATTTGCTTGGATGCCTGAGAATGTTTCTCATTGAGGGTTTCTTCAGCAAATAGTAACAGAGGCTGACAATCACTTGGAGATAAAGGGTTCAATCTGTAACCACATTTGGGTCTGATACTAGCTTGTGACTACTTCTCTACATTATCTAACATTGCAAATCTTGTTATCCAAATTACCTGACACTGAGAATGCCATCTGTAGGATATCTGCATAGTACAGGTTGTCTGAATAGTAGAAGCAGTTTGGGCCGCGTTGCATGTGTAAGAGGAGTGCATATTTCATGACATAGCATTTTAATGAGACATGAGCACATCTGGGAAACATTTAGTACAGTAGGTTAACATGTAGTTAGTGTTCAACAATAACTCATTTTGGCAGTGGTGCTACAATAATGGAGGAAACGAAGGCAGGTTTTACTTGGTTTAAAGGAAGCAGGCTTGCTTTTTCAATTTGCTTTTAAATATGTATTGGAAATTTGAGAAATACAAGCTTAGAAGTTGGACTTGTAGACAATTTCTGATTTCTACTTTTCAATCCATGACTAGGCATGATAGCCTAGTGGCTAAATCCTCACCTTACATATGCTGGGATCCCATATGGGCGCTGGTTTTGTCCCAGCTGCTTCACTTCCTGTCTAGTCTCCCTACTTGTGGCCTGGGAAAGCAGTAGAGGATGGCCCAAAGCCTTAGGACCCTGCACCCACATGGGGGACTTGGAAGAAGCTCCTGGCTTTTGGCTCCTGGTTTCAGATCAACTCAGTTCCATCCACTGTGGTTACTTGTAGAGTGAACCAGTAAATAGAAGATCTCTCTGTCTCTCCTTCGCTCTGTGAATCTACCCTCCTTATTTAAAAAAAAAATCTTTAAAATACTAAGAGAAATACAGGGCACAAATCTTTGTTCACTCAATAGGCATTCCCTTATTTTAGTTCTTTCTATCAAGACTTGAGTTGAAGAGTGACGAGCATTTGACTTAGTTTCTGAGTGATGTATAATTGCTTACATGGTTAGGTTCCTGCCACCTTTGTGGGAAACCTGGATTGAGTTCTCAACTTCCGGCTATGGCCCCTTCCAGACCTAACCATTGTAGGCATTTGGAAAGAAAACCAGTAGATTGGATCTCTCTGTAATAACTGAATTATGCATTTATTAAAAAGGAGCTGAGTTTAAAACATCTGCTGAGAAAGCTTGGTGAAGAGGTTCTAAAGACAACTATAGGCTGTTTCCTTTATTAATTATGCCTTTAATACATGCTTTAAAATACTGCCAATACGTTATCTTTTATCTTGACCATCTTTTCTAGAGATTTTTAGTGACATTTAGTAATCTAAAGATGTTTTGTATTTTATCTTATTAATTCATGTTTGAAACTTGAATTCTTTGAATATTTTTAGATTCTAGGATTTCCTCTTAGAAATTCCCCTTATACAAATAATCACAGTTTTTCAATGTACAACTATCTCTTAACCCAAACAAAAATCCTTCCAAATGTAGAGACTTGAGAAGCTGTGTTGTATAAAGTAGTACTTTCAAAAGGAAACAAAAAACAAAAAAATCCTGCTTGCTGAAATGCCCAGGACTCCCTGTTGCCTTCTTTGGTTGTTTGTTCACATAAGCTTCAGTGTTCTGTTTTGGACTTTTGTTATTGGAGGACAGTTACTGGAGGGATCTGTTGCCAGGGGGAAGGAAAAGAAGGCCACGGATAAAAGCTGACATCTGCTTGATAGAGCCTCCTTTTACCCCCAACAGCTCTGCCACAGAAAGGGATGAATGGCTAGAAGCGATTTCCAGGTCAATAGAAGAGTATGCCAAGAAAAGAATCACCTTCTGTCCTAGCAGGAGTCTGGATGAGGTATCTCTCCCCTCCCCAACTCTCTCCTCTGTTTACAGTGGGTTCCAAACCATTTTTACCTTAAAGAAACAATTCACAAGGGTTTAGAAAAGCAACCTGTGTGTCAGATAAAAATTGGATCTGTGTATCTAAGTACAGCTCAACATTCATCCTCCTGTTTACTTCTGATACAATTGGATATGTATATATATATATATGATATATTAGTAGTTTTTCCTGATGATAAAGTTCTGTTGTAGAAAATTAGAAAATATGTAGTCTTATCAGGAAGAAACTTATCCACTGTCACCCTACCACCACCACAGGCATTGTTTTATTTTGCTCTAGAGGGGTTCTGGAATGTAGCTAATTTTAATATCCTGAGTGCATGAAAAGCATATTAGCCACTGTCCCATGCTTCATGATACTGGCTGAATTGTGCCAGGGGGCTGCCCACTAAGACGCTTCTGTAGCAGGCCTCATGCTGGAGGTAATCACAAGTCATCCTTGTTCCGCAGGCTGACTCGGAAAGCAAGGAAGAAGTTACTCCCCTGGGATCCAAGGCTCCCATCTGGATCCCTGATACCAGAGCCACAATGTGCATGATCTGTACAAGTGAATTCACTCTGACCTGGAGACGCCACCACTGCCGGGCCTGCGGAAAGGTCAGCAAGGATGGCACCTCTCCATTGCGACTTGTCCCCTGCTGGGCTGCATGAAATGAGGGGAAAGGAAACCATAGTGTCCACTGCAGTGGGGCTGGGGGCGGTGTTTCCTCTTCAGGGGCTGGTACTTAAGGGGCTCTTGCTTGGGAACTTCCCTCCTCCCACTCCAGAGTTACTTTAGAATGTCCTTCAGACAGAGAGTCTATGAATTTCATGAACAATAAGATCCTTGCATGTGCAGATAATGATTTACCTGCCTCTATGGAGATAATGGAGTTTTTAGTAGGTGTGCTTTCCTTGTTGAAGCGATCCCTATGTGATACTTCTCAGCCTTGATGACTTCATTAGTAAAATCAACATAGGAACCAGTAACATAAGACATGGCTCTAAAAATTACTGTCCTAATTAAATGGCCCTTAGAATAGAGTTGGGACACTTAAGAAAGGAGAGAGGTGGTTGCAGCTACACATCAGTGATGAAGTCATAAATTTTAAGTAACTTTAGTATATACTTATCATAATTCATTGTTCATTATGATTGTTAGTCTCTTACTGTGCATAATTTACAAATTAAATTTTATCATAGGCGTATGTAGGAGATACAGTGTACCTAGGGTTCAGTAACATCTGCAGTCATAGCCATTGGCAGAACCTCTTGGAGCATACCTCTACAGATCAAAGGGGATTCCTGTACTGTGTGCTATCACTTTGGGCCTGAACCTCCTAGAGTTGTGATTGAGATTGAGTATGTATGAAAATGTTCTTGAAAAGGACACAGTACTATCAATTATAAAGTACTTTGTGATTTGAAAACAAAAGTTTTTCTAAATGAGATCATTACATTGTGTTTTCAGATTGTTTGCCAAGCTTGTTCATCAAATAAATATGGCTTAGATTATTTGAAAAATCAACCAGCAAGAGTATGTGAACATTGCTTCCAAGAACTTCAGAAATTAGGTAATATGTAACATTCACACACACACAAAAAAATTCCTTCTGTTCCCCGGATGCTTTCCAACGACCATCTGAAACAATCATCTTTAGTATATCAGCAATATGATTCCTATCTTAAAATCAGCATGATGCTCTCTTAGCTCATGTTTTCTGGCAATCCCAGTAGAGGTTGGGCTGAAATTCATTTTTACTCTGGGAAAAAGATTTTGCTAAGAAAACTAATGGTACAAATGTAATTACAGGTTGAAATGCTTAAAACAACTAAAAAGCAGTATGCTTTTTACAGATCATTTTTAACTGTCTATAAAACACTTCTCTCTAGGAATTTTGTTAGCCTAATTTAGTCCCTTGGACTAATTCAATAAGATTTTACTGTACATTGGAATCTGCAGCTTTTAACCAAAATACAAAATGATACTTCTGTCTGCCTGTTCACTGTTTGCAGGTATCCTGTGGTTAAAGTGAATGCAGCTAGCAGGACTGCCTATGTCTATATTTTGGGGCAAAATCCTTAAATTTCTGAATCCTATAGAAATTAAATTTTTTTAAAGATGTATTTATTTTTTATTTGAAAGGCAGATCAACAGAGAGGAGAGGTAGAGAGATCCTCCATCTGCTGGTTTTACTCCTCAGATGGCCATAACCAGGAGCAGGGGCCAAAGCACCCATGCCATTCTCCACTGGCTTCCCAGGCACACTAGCAGGAAACTGGATCAGATATGGAGCAGCTGGGCTAGACTGGTAGCCATACTGGATGCTGGCACCACAGGAAGAGGAGGCTTAACTTATGCCATGGCACTGGCTCCAGAATCTTAGTTTGAAAAGATTGTCCTAGGCCCAGCGCAATAGCCTAGAGGCTAAAGTCCTTGCCTTGTAGCCGCTGGGATTCTATATGTGCATCCGTTTGAGTCCCAGCTGCTCCACTTCTCATTCAGCTCCCTGCTTGTAGCCTGGGAAAGCAGTTGAAGATGACCCAAGGTCTTGGCACCCTGAACCCATTTAGAAGACTTTGAGGAAGTTCGTGGTCCCTGTTCCTGGCTTTGGATCAGTTTAGCTCTAGCTATTGCCTCCACTTGGTGAGTGAACCAGTGGATGGAAAATCTTTATGTGTTTCCTTCTTTCTGTGCATCTGAGTTTCTAGTAGAAGTACATACATCTTTTCCAAGAAAAACAGCTTTTTGTTAGCAAATAGGAATTTCTAATTGAATAAACTAGGTTACACAATCTACCTATCAACTAGTAATTTCTTCTTGTCTGTACACATTTTCCAGGCAGGCATATTATCTCTTTGCCAGCCCCAGCCTCTCTGATCCTCCTGTTGTTGGCTGGGTGTACAGCATAAGCTACAGACACTCAAACTGTATCTTTGAATCCTCCTCCTTTGTCATCCACATCCATGTGGTCAGTAAATCTTGTCAGTTTTATGCCTGAATAGCCATATTTGTCTTGAATTCTTTATCTTAGTCCTAATAAAGCCTTTGTTGTCTCTTGCCTGTACTAACATCATTTCCTAGAAATTTTTCCTACTGCAAATCCCTCGTTCTTGCTAATACTGGGTTTATGTTGACTAATTTGTTCATGTCACTCCCTAGTTTCGAAAGCCTGACTAGTCCAGAATTCTGAGAACCAACCTCTTTCTTCTCCGCGCTCCTCTTTCTCTCTCTCTCTCTCTCTCTCTCTCTCTCTCTCTTTTCCCCCAGCCTGACTTTTCTCCTAATAGATGCCTTAATTTCAGACCTCTTGGCCTTGGCTCACACTGACCTTTGTGGGGGGAGTAGTCTTGCTTCTGTTAGCTGCACACTCCTCTGCGGAGCAACTGCAACACCACAAACTTTACTTGAACCTTTGCAATCAGCATCCATTGCTTTGTCAGTGGTGCCTTTTCTGTCAGTATTTGGTTTATTATCTAGATACTGAACAACATTTTTTGGCTTTTGTTCTTTTTTAAAGCCAGTAGGGGAGGATGTGTTTGGGTTTTTAAATCTATGGTACATTCTCACGTTTCAGAATTCAAAAGGCATGAATGGATAATTACTTCATGTAGCTTAAAGTTCAAAAGTGCAAAATCATAGATAGTGCAATCCAGCTCTCATTCAGCTCCCAGAAATTCCCCTTCCTTCCCCAGAGGTCTTCAGTCTCTTGAGTGTCATTTCATGGATATTTCATGCAGCAACACTTATGGATTTGAATTATATTGAATTGTGGAATGTTTGCCATTGGCTAAAGAAGTGTTTCTGGTTTGTTTTAGATCACCAGCACTCCCCTAAGATTGGAGTTCCTGGAAATCACAAATCTCCTTCAAGCACCTTCTCATCAGTCTTACATAGTATTCCATCAGGGAGGAAACAAAAAAAAATTCCAGCTGCACTCAAAGAAGTAAGTGTTTTCATTAAACTTGCATTGAAATGAGGGTAAATTATTCATAAGCATTCATAAAATGTTGGTCTTTCTTTTATAAAGAAAAATGTCATTTCCCACAACCGTTAAGATATAAATTTTAATAATACTTGGAATGGATGTGATTGATGCCTTATAATTTTACCGGGTCTCCCCTAAGACATGAGTCATTTAGAAAATGCCTTTTGCAAGACTTGTGGAACATTTTATAGCAATGATAGAATGTAAAAATAAGTTGGACTCACATGAGCATTTTAAAACACACGTTGAGAAAGCTTACCTTGCCAGATGGAAGAAGTTCGTAGAATATTCTAGCCTTGTGTCAGCATTTACTGACCCACACTGATTTTTGTTGGTATTGGTTGATCACTTACTACTGACATCACTGATAGTAGGCTGTCTTTTGTTTCAACTGAAAGGAAAAATTTTAAACATAGACCTTTCCATGGCTTAATACACCCCCAAATCTTACCCTGGTATGTCAAGTAAATGTCAGTCAGCAAGTAGCAAAGGAATAAAAACAGTATTTCCTTTCTGCCTACTCCTCTTATGATTTGTCCATTCCACATTGGCTAATTTTCTGCTCAAATAAGTGGAGTTTTTAAATTGGGTTTGCTTACTTGATTGTTGTAGAGCTGTTCCATTGCCAAAAGCAAATTCTAAGAATGTGAGTGAGACCATGTTTCTTTTTTTTTTTTTTAAAGATTTAATTTTTATTGGAAAGTCAGATATACAGAGAGGAGGACAGACAGAGAGAAAGATCCTCCATCCAATGATTCACTCCCCAAGTGGCCAGGAGCCAGGAATTTCTTCCAGGTTTCCCACACAGGTGCAGGGTCCTAAGGCCTTGGGCCACCTTCAGCTGCTTTCCCAGGTCACAAGAGGGAGCTGGATGGGAAGTGGAGCTGCTGGGATTAGAAACAGCACCCATATGGGATCCTGGCACATTCAAGGCAAGGACTTTAGCCTCCAGGCCTGAGACCATGTTTCTTATGTGAAGTTGAGTTTATTCCTACTTGGAATAGTATGAATTTATTTAAAAGGCAGAGCAACACAGAGACAGGGAGAGACAGATCTTATATCTGCTGGTCACTTTAAATGGCTGCAACAGTCAAATCTGGTCCTAACACAGCAACAGGAAAGTCTATCCTGCTCTCCCATAAGGGTTGCAGCGGCACAAGTATTGGATCATTTTCTATGTGCTTCCCTGGCCTGTTAGCTGGAAGCAGGACTCCAGCAGATTAGTCAGGACTTGAACCAGCCACCGTGCCACAATGCTGACTGAGTTTTAATTGACACATTTTATATAAAACTGGTTAAACCAATTGAGTAGGCTCCTTTGAACTTTTCTCTTCCGTCCCTCAATTCCTGTATCTAAATCTAAATTCAGAATTTTGAGGTTGTTAATAAACTGAAATGGTTCTCAACAAACTATAGTTTCGCACCCCTCATAGTGATGTCACAATTTCTTGATGTAATTCTTCCTACTTGCTCCCCTCATTAGTTGAAACTCCATGGCATTTGTTTAAAAACTCTTCAGTTTAAACTAACCTCAGTGTAACTTATCCCATTTTCTGCATCCTTCTGCCCAGCCACACAGCCTGGCCTTCTTCTGCTTCTCCTGTTTTTACAGCCACTGTGACTGGGTAGAAGGACGTATAAAACACCAACGTCTACTTCCTGGTTACGGCCATTGCTTCCTTTATTCCACTGGTTCTCAAGGTGTTCTGCAGACCAGTAGCTTCGGCTGTCTGGAAGCTTAGTCTTATTAGAAACTCCCTATCCAGTCTGCAGAATCAAACACTACCAAGCATTCCTAGTGATTCACATCTATGCTGAAGTTTGAGAACTACTTATTTGCTCCTCTGCAGTCAGACTGTAGAAATTAATATATCTAAGTAAGTGCTGTAGAAGTCAAATTACAGTATTCTTGGGAACCTGACATTTTTTAGTTGTGATATTCACACAACATACAATTAGCATTTTTAAAGCATACAATTCAATGATATAGAAAGTGTTCAGAATGTTATACAACAAGACTCCCTGTAGTTTCAGAACTCTTTGTCCATAAAATGTCTGTATGTACCCATTATATAGTCAGTCACCATTCTGCCCACTCCCTTCTCTCCACTCCTTGATAAGCTCTAACCTGCTTTCTGTCTCTCTGGCATTGGTTATTCTAGGTATACCATACAGCTTGTCATCTTTTGTCTGGCTTCCTTCACTTAGCACAATGCTATATATCTGTGTGCTTCAGATTTTAATCTATTTGAAAGATAAAGCAACAGAGAGAGAGAGCTCTTCCATTGCTGGTTGACTCCCTAATAGCTGCAATGGCCAAGATTGGGCAAGGCTGAAGCCAGGACCCTGGAACTCCACCTGGGTCTCAGACCTGTGTGGGTGACACAGGTCCACGCCTGGGTCCATCCTCTGCTCCTTTCCCAGGTACATCAGTTGGGAAATGAACTGGAAATGAAGCATCCAGGACTGGAATGGTATTTCCATATGGGATGCTTGCACTGCAGGCAGCAGCTTAAGCCACTGTACCACAGCACTGTCCCTAGCACAGTGTTTTTGAAGGTCACTGAAAATATAACGTGTCTGTCTTGTAGCACATATCAGTACTTTGTTTCTATGTCTGAATAGTATGTATGTATGCACAAGTTCAGTGATTTATCCACTCATCCTTGATGAACATTTCGGTTGTTTCTCTTTTGGCTATTTTAAATAATGTTGCCATAAACATTCATGTACAGATTTCTTTGTGGATGTATGTTCACAAATTCCTGGAAGTGGAATTACTTCGTCATATGTAATTCTAAGTTTAACTTTTTGAGGATGTAGAAGGTTGTGTTTGTATTCCAGTTATTTGAAACATTTTTAGAAATTCTTATATTTTAAAATTATGATCTACAATAATTAGAATTTTCCTTGAGTTGGATTTATTATTATTATTATCATTAGTAGTGGTATAGTAGTGTTTATCCAGTCATTGTCAGTTTGGCAATTACGTTGATCAATATCAATTTTAGTTGTAAACAATTATACAAAACTACTTTTGGCTATTCAGTGTAATGGCTATTTTTTATGGCTAATAAACCAGTTGTAAAATATTCTAATAGAAAAATGTCATACACATGAATAACACTGGTAGCACTTATATAAATATATAACAGTATCCCAATATATTTACCTTTTAATTAAAGTATTATTTGAATGCCAGATGCTCTAATTCATTTTTATTTACTTTGTAGTCTTTTATGTTTTCCTTTATATAAATTTACTTTCACTTAACAAAAATTTCTAATTTAATGCTAGGTCTTTAATTTTCTACCAAGTGCTATCATCCACTTAAACTATACTTTAGTGTATTTTTAATATGCACAAGTCATAGAGCCCACCTATATCGGTTTTCTGTTTCTACACAGAAATCACTACCACCAGACTAGCTGTTTAGGTACCGCTTAGTTGGGACCTCTATGTGGGGTATAATGAAGGTTCTGGACATTACTGAACTTTCATCTGGAGGCTAGGGAAGGGAAGGGTCTCATTCAGTTGGTTGACAGGATTCATTTCCTTGCAGTTCAAGGGCCTTGGCTTCTTACTGGTATTTGACTGGAGGGATCCTTCGGCTTTTTGCCATATGAGCTTCCAAGCCTGGCCATGTACTTCAATGCTCACAAGAGAGAAAGAATTTAAAGCCTGTCTTCCGGTGGAAGGGGTCTTTCTTACTGTCCCATAAGCATGTGGGCCACACCCTAGCATCATCACCAACGTTGTCCTGGTTATGCTGTCTGCATTCAGTGAGAGGCGTACTTACCTGGCAGGGGAGACACCATGACCACGCATTCAGCAGGGGGAGATTGTATAGCAGTGTGGCCAGCAGAGGCAAGGACGGAAAGCCACTTCTAAACTATGCCTTTGTGCTCTTGGGAGCACATATACTAAAGTTAGAACGATACAGAGGATAGCATGGCCCCTGTGCGAGGATGAAACACAAATTCATGAAGTGTTCCATATTCAAAAACAAAGAGAAGTATGCTTGTCTGTCACCCCATTAAAGAGGACTGAAATCCTAATCTTGCATTTTTTTCCTATCTCTGCTATTTCTACAAAATGTCTTTATTGATACATTAAATAATTAATGATTAATTTCTTAATTTTTTTTAATACTCCAGAATGAGAAAAGCAATAGACAGCTCCAAAAATGCAGCATTAGAAAAGCATTTTAGGTTTTAGAAATATTTTTTCTCTCTTGCTAATGCAGAAAACACAGATGAACCCACAAAAAAGCATATGCACAGACATGCAAGCAGTTAAACTAGGTAAAATTGTAGGAATACTTCTGAAAGGAAGGTTTTATATTTCCATTTTCAATATAGATTTCAGTCAGAACAGTATCAGACTGAAAATACATTATTTAGGGCTTGGCCTGGTAGCTCAACTGGCTTATCCTCCACCTTGCAGTGCCAGTATCCCATCTGGGCACTGGTTCTTGTCCCACTGCTCGACTTCCAACCCAGCTTGCTGCTTAAGGACTGGACAAGCAGTGAAAAATGATTCTTTTTTCTTTTTCTAAGATTTATTTATTTTTATTGTGAAGTCAAGATTTACAGAGAGAAGGAGACACAGAGAGAAAGCTCTCGTGTCTGCTAGTTCACACTCGAAGTGATTGCAAAGGCTGGAGCTGAGCTGATGCAAAGCTAGGAGCCCAAAACTTCTTCCTGGTCTCCCACACGGGTGCAGGATCCCAAGGCTTTGGGACATCCTCTATTGCTTTCCCAGCCCACAAGCAGGGAGCTGGATGGGAAGTGGAACAGCCAGGATACAAACTGGCACCCCATGGGATCCGGCACTTGCAAGACAAGGATATAGACACTAGGATTTTACGCTGGGTCCTTTCCTTCTTTCTACAAATCTACCTTTCCAATAAAAATAAATAAGAAAAAAAATACACTGTCTCATCCAAAACATTGCTTTATTGTTATATGTATTGCTTCCAGCATGTAATGATCACAAGCAATTTTGCTGTGTAAAATATGTCTCAAAACCATTTAACTATTTATGGGGCTTGTTTCTCCAGGTATCAGCAAACACAGAAGATTCTTCTATGAGTGGCTACCTGTACAGATCAAAGGGCAATAAGAAAAATTGGAAACACTTGTGGTTTGTCATAAAAAATAAAGTTTTATATACGTATGCTGCAAGTGAGGTAAGATATATAATCTACTGACAAGTATTTTTGGGATTTTTTTCTCCCAAAAAACTGAGTTATTTTAAAGGTAAAATTTGGCAAGAATCTTCTATCTCCTGGCTTGTTCCCCAGATGGCTACAACATCCAGACCAGGAACCAAGAGCTTTTTCTCAGTCTCCCATGTTGGTAACAAGGCCCCAAGAATTTGGGCCATCTTCCACTGCTTTCCCATGCATATCAGCAGGGAGTTGGATTAGAAGTGGAGCAACTGATGCCCAATGCAGTAGCCTAATGGCTAGAGTCCTTGCCTTGCACACACTGGGATCCCATGTGTGTGCCAGTTCAGGTCCCGGCTAATCCACTTACCATCCAGCTCCTTGCTTGTACCCTGGTAAAGCAGTCAAGGATGGCCTGAGGCCTTAGGAGCCTGTACCCATGTGGGAGACCCAGAAGAAGCTCCTTGGCTGCTAGGTTCAGATTGACTCAGTGCCACTGGGGAGTGAACTGGCAGATGGAACATCTTCTCTATCTCGCCTCTTTCTATATGTCTGCCTTTCCAATAAAAATAAATCTTTAAAAAAACAAAAAGTGGAGCAGCTGGGACTTCAACCAGCATCTATATGAGATGCTGGCATCATAGGCAGTGGCTTTACTTGCTACACTACAGTGCTGGCTCCAGTTTTGGGATTTAGTAATGCAGCTGGAAATAATCTGTTTTGCGTGCATTATTTTTGCTTGACTAATAGGGAGCAGAGATGCTGTTGTGTTCTTGCTTTGTATCTGGGAAGCACTTACCCAGGTGTGTTAGGAATTTTCCTAGCATAAAACACAAGTGTTTTGGTATCACATGACTGCTAACTACTTCATGAAAGGGGAAACCACTGCTTCTTTCAGCCAGGCTGTATTTGTGGAGCTCCCTCGATCACAACCCACTTGTGTTGATCAAACCAGTATTGATAAGAGAGTGCGTTTGTTAACAGTTTTTAGTATTTGCTCTGATTCTGTCCTTTTCTCTGTCTGGTCATCCTGGGTTCCAACATCCTGTGACAACCATTGCTATAGGAGGATCCAAGCTTAAAGATCGTTAATGCTAAGATCTGGGAAAGTCCATTGGCTCTCTTGGCTTTATTTTGGCATCCATATATCAAAAGCAGTGTATTAAACATTACTGTGAATATAATGTGAAAAGTATATAGTGAATATTATGTGAAATTCAACAGATGTGAACATAGTAAAAATTATCTAATGCAGTGTCTAGCACACTTGGATGTGGGGACGACACAGAGAAATGAATAAGCTGTTAGAATTATTGTTTGAAATGTGTGTATATGAAATAGAGATATAGAAATCAAGAATGTTGGGCCCGGTGCAATGGCGCAGTGGTTAAGGTCCTCGCCTTGCACGCCTGGGATCCCATATGGGCGCCGGTTCTAATCCCGGCAGCCCCACTTCCCATCCCGGGCCTGTGGCCCGGGAAAGCAGTTGAGGACGGCCCAAAGCTTTGGGACCCTGCATCTGCGTGGGAGGCCTGGAAGAGGCTCCTGGCTTTGGATTGGCTCAGCTCCAGCCATTGCGGCAGCCTGGGGAGTGAGTCATCAGATGGAAGATCTTCCTCTCTGTCTCTCCTCTCTGTATACCCACCTTTCCAATAAAAATAAAATTAAAAAAAAAAAAGAAATCAAGAATTTTAAAATCTGAATTTTATCTCAAACTAAAATCTTGTCTTTTTGTATTTTTAAATTAGGATGTGGCAGCTTTGGAAAGTCAACCTTTATTAGGATTCACTGTTATGCAAGTGAAAGATGAGAATTCAGAATCCAAAGTATTTCAATTACTACACAAAAACATGCTATTTTATGTGTTCAAAGCAGACGATGCACAATCAGCTCAGAAGTAAGTAACTGAAATATATATATTTTTTAGAGACAGTATTCCAATTTGTTAGTTTGATTTTTAAATTAGCTACTTTAAGGCACAGGGACAACTCAGAATCTAAACCAGAGATCCAAATGAAGATTAAACTGTGCAGCATTGCAAAGAAATAAGGCAGGGGTTTCTGGAACATTTTTTAGAAGGCAGAGGAGAAAGGAAAATAGTCCTGTCCAAGAATTTTATCTCCACACGGGAAGCAGCATGCCGCTGCTCTGCTGCAAGGAAGGGAAGCAGAGGCATTTGACCTCCTGCAAGGAGGGGAAGAATCTTCCCTTGAAACATTCCAGGGCTTTTGGCAGTCTGGTGATTCAGTTATGCCCGGGAACAGCGTGAGTTTAATCAGCTGCTTGCAAGCATGCTTCTTTGGGGAAAAAAGGTCAAACATATTAGGAGGCTCCATGCTGTTCCCTGCGACTGAGGAGGTGGAAATGGATATCATTTTAGATGAAAGGCTGAAACAGTCTCTTCAGAATTCAAATAAGAAAGTTTTGAAGTTACCAGTTTGCTTAACATGGAGCTGCATATCCTCATGAAATCAAAGTCTCCTCTGAACTAAACATTGGTTTGTCCCTTCCATTTGCATTGTACTTTGGCAACTTTGGCATCACGGAATACACATTTGTGTTTTGAGTAAGAGGTATTCATGTCATCTCAGCTTAATGTTTCTAAAATGGCTTGAGTAAGCAGGGCATCAGCTTCTCAAGACAGTTAAAAATAATGTACCATAATTGAAAATGGGGGTATTTGCAAAGTTCAATCAAAGTCTGTATCATTTTTAAAAAAAATTGTGCATGGATTTTAGATTTTTTTTGTATCCATTTTTCCACAGTTTTGTGGTGGTGGTTTGACTTTTTGAGAGACAAAATTTAGAATGGGTTTACGCTAAATTGTAAGTTATTAATATTGGGGCAAGTGTTAGGATACCAGATGTGATGCCCATGTCTGCACATTGGAGTGTCTGTGTTCAATACTTGTTCTGGACACCGACTCCACTTCCCTCCCAGTGCAGACCCTTTGAGACAACAATGATGGCTCAATCACTGCACTCCTGCCAGTCATACTGGGAGACCAGAATTGAGTATAACTTACATGTATTTATTTTCAAAAGTTTAAATTTCAAAATTTAAATGTTATAAATTATAAGCTGCTCTTAAAAGCTTATGCTTCCCTGGAATGATTTCTGTACCTGAAATACTACTGTAAAAATCGTGCTCCAATAAGAAGGTAAAAAATAATTAGGTTCAGAAACAGTTCCTCTAGTGGGAGGAGCGGAGAGTATCCCCAAGTGTTTTCTGAGTACTTGCAGCTGTGCACAAGGTCGGCTAACATTCAGAGACTAAAGACTTTTGGAAAGACTTCTAAAAACTTGAGAAGCTATTATATTGCATGCATATTTTTTTTTTTATCACTTGAGAGTAGAATAAATGCCAGATTTCTCTTTCATTGGGAACTAAGGGATATATAAGCAAACTCTGGTTGGTGGAGTTAAGAGATGTGGTGACACTGAAGTTCTCACAGAACCCAAGTAACGCAGACAGAGTGTTGTTAATAAAGTCCTTTGCATGCCAGCTTTTGGACAAGAGTACCCAATAAAGACACAAAATTCCACTTTGCTTTAAGAAAGATCTTAATTGTGTTGTTCGGGCAATCAGCTGCAGGGCCAGCTACTATTTATGTTCTGTTTGCATATAGCAGATGATTGGATCTTATAATTCTAATGGATTTCTTTTTATCAACAGGTGGATAGAAGCATTTCAGGAAGGCACAGTATTGTAGCAGTGTTGGTTTCATCTCTTCTTTGTTTCCAGAAAGGCAGAATTTATCAGACTGAAATAAATATGATTCAGAAATTATGTAGAAATGAACACTGCCAAGACATATCCAACCAAACTTTTCTTTGGATATCAGAAAATAGTGGGTTTTGTCTTAATGTTTGTTTTTCCATGTATGTTATTTATTAAACTGTTGATGTTTACCTGGTGGTCAGAATTATTTCTGAGATTCACACTGAATTCTTAAGTATCAATTCTTTAGAGACTAGAAATGTTAATGCTATACAGTATTAACTATTTGTGATTCAGTCTACACTGTTTTGCCTTACATTTTAATATTTTCATTAGCAGTATATCTTGGTAAATAAAATTTATATCATAAGGAACAAATTTCCCTGCAGTGCCTGGTTTTAGTCATTGTGATTGTATTCAGACTGCTGATGAAAAAATTGCATGTCTCTGAATCAGTCAACTTAGAAATCTGTTGCATCTTTTAATGGGAACATGCATGGCCAGTCTCTACCTCAGTAAATGTGAAATGAAATTCCAGTGAAATAACAAAGTATTTCTACTGTTATGTACCTCTTTTGGCATGAGCACTATGCCATGAAATAATTCTAGTAAGGGGGTAGAATCTGAATTTTTTCAAAGCTACCAGTTCAACACACATAAGTGTATATATTTTTTAAATAGCAAAAATGTGGAAAGCATTATAGTAGTGCATTAAATCCCCTGCTTTTAAGAGTTCTCGGTGATCATGTTTGTATCCGGGGTGTTGCATTTCCTTTAATATTGTGCTTGGAATTGGAAAAACTGGAATTGCCATATCAGAAAAGCACAACTTCTAAGCCAGTATTAACTGCAGTTCTCTAGTATTCATTTTTGAATGATCTTTTTATACCACTTTGTGAAATGTCCTCCTTGGCAATTAAGAAAAAGTCCTTTCTTTATCCATCAGTGCACCTCATTATTACTCATTAATGATTCTGGCACACTTACTGTTTAACATTTGAACACTTTGCACAAAAAAACTGTTGATTAGCAGAAGGAAAATTGATTAACTGTATGATTGAAGACATTCCTGATATGTTTGTAATATATTGTATCAATGGAGTTTAAGATCTGCCTTATAAGAAAGATTTATAAAATATTTCTTAAAGGGTACCAGAATTTTCCTACCTGCTTGCTTATAAAGGATTTCCCAATTCAGTGTGGTGACTCTTGAGGGTAACCAAGAGAATAAGCAAGTGCCTTCTAGAAGCCTTTTGAATGCTGTTTGCTGCAGCACCAGAGTCCCTGCTAGTGGCTGCTGTAGGTTTTTCTGGCTATTTCCTGTTAGGGAGTCATTTTAACCCCCTGTTTTGGCCTTACAGATCATCTTAACATACAGTCTCCCCAAGTCTTTCTGTCATACCAGATAAACTAGTTTTTGTTTTACTTTACTTTTGGGGGCCTACTTATTTTCATCGAAATCAGTAAATAAGGCTTTGACCTGCCAGTGTCTGGTTTCCAGGGTCCAAATGTTTCCTTAGGTATCTTCTATTTGTAATGAGCATGGAGAAGGGCAGTCACAAAACTAAGCTGAGAAGGAAGCTGAGAATAACCCAAGAAGCCAGGCTGAAGTGGGAAGAGGCTAGGTCTGCTTCTGAGTAACCCCAGCCAGCATACCTCCCTTCTCTGCCAGTGTCCTTCCTTGGGACTAATGTCCTAAAAAATCAATCCCTTTGCCATCATTACACATGTTGAACAGTTTTCCAACCTCTTTTCCCCTGCTCCCCAGTGTGCCCAGCTATCCTCTTGTTATCCTTTGGCTGCCCAAAATACTTTTCTTCATCCAAAAGCTTGATTCATCTGGTAGGGTTTCTTAAAATGAGATCATCAGACCAATTCTTTCAGGTACAATTTTGTTTACCAAATGTACATTTCGTATCTGATGAATAGAAAGTTCCTAGCAATGTGGTAAGCCTCCTTTCATAATTTAAATTGATGTTATAGCATATGCTTGAGATCCTCTGCAGTCAAAGGTGGTCACCTGGATTTCCAGAGAGGCAAATCCTGTTTCTTCATATGGTGCAGTATGTGCTTCCTGAAGGCAGATACTGTAATATACCACGTTCTCCCATGATAGCACCCTGTGCCTTTTAAGAGAAAGTACTTCTTCAGTTGGATAGAATAAAGTGAGGATGGGGTCCTTATCTGTAGCTCAAATGCAGCCCTCAAATACCTTCATTCACCCTCCTGCAAAGCAACATTTACAACTACCCATTGGAGACCTACACCATCTTAAAATTCACATGGCAAAAACAAACAAACAAAAAAAAACCAAAAAACTTTCTTCCTGTTCAGATCTGCAAATATTCTTTTGTGATAAAGACATCATCTGTGGCTACAGAATCTGACTTCAAGTCTGAACAAGACTTTTTTGCCATTGCTCTTTTATGTTCCCATCGTCACTGCCACGGCTGGAGTTCTCATTAACCTCTGCAAAGACTGTAGGTAACTTTGTTAATCTGTGTGGTCCCATTTTAAACACTACTAGAATGCTCTTCCCAAAGCATACTTAGTCAAGGTTCATCCTTGTTTCCCATCAGTGGTTTAGGCATGGGACACTTCAAGCTAGTCTACGCTCCAGATAATCCCAACCTCACCTTTCTCCTATGTCTGCCCCACTCCTAACTTTTCCTGTTTATCCAAGACTTCTCTGTGACATCTGGTCTAATCCTCACCCCTTTGCTCTCTCCTTCCCCTGGGCCCGTGTGGTCTTTACTTCATAAACTTGAATATGATGTCAATAGCAACTTAGCTTGTTCATCTAAGATTCCCTTACAGCAGCTAGTGGAGTGCCTTGGCTGCAATGGCTCCCCTGGTATTTGCAGAATCAAATTCCCTACCATGGATCCTGTCTTGTCTTTTAAAGAGCCCCCAATACATGTATGATTCTGAAACCTGTGGCATTTTGGGGAAAAAAAAGGCTTAGGACTGTTTCCCCATGAGAAAAGCATTTCCAGTGGGATTAAAATAAAGGTAGTAGGAGAAACTGCAAAAGCCTAAATATCAAACTCCTTTTCTTTTGGAATAGGAGAAGGATGGAAAGGGCTAACTTTCTCCTTTATAGGACTTCACAGAATGTAAGATCCAATCTTGGAACTATTTTTAAATGACTGATAATGTATTTCTAGATAAACTTTATGTAAAGGGATAATTGTTTATATTTTATTGTCCATATATTCTTTATAAAGAAAAACTAGCATTGTAAATAATGTTAATATGTGTTATATTTATGCCAAATAAATGTACTATACTACCTAATGCTGGTGTGTTATTGTAACTTTTTAAAAAGTCACACTTTTTTTATTGTTATTTTATTTTATGACACAGTTCCATAGACTCTGGGATTTCCCTTAACCCTTTGCCAAGCCCTGCCCCCATATTTATTTCCTCTATGTTATTACAGTAGTATAGGTCATAAACAGTCATAATTCCATCATTGCAGGCATGGACCATGCAGAGTCCAGCATCTTATTGTCAAGATAAATTTAATAGTTTCATTGGGAGTCCATCTTTGATCTGAAAGTAGAGATGGCAGCATATCCTCACATATAGATATGATAGTCTCCAATAAACAGTTATTATAATCCCCTTAAATGAACAGCGACAATGCAAAATCAACACCAGGAAGAAAAATGGATATTTACAAATAACATGCTACTGAATGACCAATGTGTTAGAAAGTGCAAGTTCTTAACCAAGTCCTATAACTACTTCATTGACATCTCAATTTTAGTTTATACATAACCAACTGCTGCAAACCTTAAAATGGTTGTAGGGTACCATATATATATATACACACACACACATACATACATACACTTAGCAATTTATAGTATTCAAGTGAGATTTTATTGAACTTCATGAATGTTAGGATACTCCAAGCAGGCTTATAACTCTTAACAAGCCATATATTACCAATTGAAGAGTAGAATAGTTTTAGGAGGGGTGCACAGAGAAATCTCCAATAACCTAGTTAGTGAGGAATAACTGATCTTTGTGTTCTACCTAGTGAGGTATACGAGAATCCAAGCTGACTTTTCTTGTCTGTTCTAAGCTTTCCATTTTAGTCTCTGTCTATCTGATCTAATTGTGGGGACTCTGGAGCGATGCTGATGGTCATTGGAGGAAAGAATGCGGAGCCAAAGTTGGGTCTAAGTAAGGACCAGAGAAAGCTCCTTTCCTGAATCCAAAAGGAAGTTTACTATTCTGTCTCTGAGGATCACCTGGAGCTTCTGGCTGTTCATTAGACCCTGTGAGGCTGGTTCTGGGCTGCTTGCATGCCATGTGGGCGATCCCGTAGGGAATGGTTGACCTCGGAGTTCTCAAGCTATGAAGGCACTCCAATTCCCTGTGATCTCCTTGGCAGTTGGAATATGGTCCTTGGTGCCTATACTGTCAACAGTCACACATTTAAAGAGCTACTTTACTTTTTCCTGAAGCACAATCACAAGAAATTCTTACCTGCAAATGGTACTTCCAAAGTAATTTCTACTTCTGAGCCTTACACATCAGCTTATTGTGACTTGAGTGAACTAAACACACCACATGGGGGCCCAGCGGTGTGGCCTAGTGGCTAAAGTCCTAGCCTTGAATGTGCCGGGATCCCATATAGGCACCAGTTCTAATCCCGTAGCTCCACTTCCCATCCAGCTCCCTGCTTGTGGCCTGGGAAGGCATTCGAAGACAGCCCAAAGCTTTGGGACCCTGCACCCGTGTGGGGGACCCGGAAGAAGTTCCTGGCTCCTGGCTTCGGATCGGCATAGGATCGGTCATTGCACTCACTTGGGGAGTGAATCATTGGACAAAAGATCTTCCTGTCTCCTCCTCTCTGTATATCTGACTTTCCAATAAATAAAAAAAAAAAATAAAAAAAAAAACCACCACATGTTGCTGAAGAGCATAGCTCAGCTTTCAAAGAATGAGGCCTGAAGAAACTTGACTTGTTAGGAAGTATTGTAGGCTATGTTCCCCTGCCCCCTCGTGTAGATGTGGGGGATCGGCGGGTTTGGGGGAATGACAAGTTCTTCGCAGTCCCAGCACGCAGTGGATTTTCCTAACTTGGGTTTTGCCCAAGTTGAGCTACAGCTGCTTTTCTGCAGTGCTCACAAATGAGCGCTTTGAAGACATCTGTCCAAGTCGGAGTCTTCTGCACACAGCTCGCTGCCTTTCCGTGTCATAAACCTTTATTGTTCAGCAAGCACTGACCTGTGGATTCTACAATACACAGCTCAACAAAACCGACAATTCTTGGGAACTGGCATTCCAGTGAGGATATTCTTGCCCCACTTAGCTGTTGTATCGCTTGGCTCAGAATAGGTAAAACTCCACCATCCTGTATCAGCTTGTTATATGAAGGGAAGTTTAAGCACATGCTTGGAGTGTAACTGCACTTGGCAGTTCTCTAGTAATATTTAGAGTCTAAATAAGAGAGAGCCTTTAGCTCTCTCAGTTTTCTACAGATCAGAAACAATCGTCTAAAAACCCATTAGGTTATCACTGCTTCAGACTGAAACACCGACTCAAAACTTCCTTCCACGGGGCTGTTGACAGCGTTGTAGCAAGCTAATTCACCACCTGCAAGCCCTGGCATCCTATGTGGGAGCTGGTTTGCGTTTCTGCTGCTCCACTTCCCATTCTGCTCCCTGCTGATGACCTGGGAAAGCAGCGGAGGATGGCCCAAAGTCTTGAGTACCTGCACCCACACAGAATACTTCAGGATCCTGGCTTCCAATCAGCTCCACTCAGGACATCATGGCCAGTTAGGGAGTGCACCAGCACATCAAAGACCCCTCTCTCTGAAAAAAAATTTGCCTTTCAAATTAAAACACTAAATCTTAAAAAAAATAATAATAAAGACCACGTTTAGCTGACAAGAGGCTATCAGGCCTGGTGAGCTTGCGTGGCTCTGCCAGGGCAGCCTCCCTCCAAGCCGGCAGGGGGCGATCAAGTTTCAGAGCCGCGACTCGCTTCTCTCGGGCCCCTCCACCCTACTCGGGGAACGTCACGACCCCGTCTCGCCGCCAATGCGCAAGCGCGCAGGGGCGAGAGCGGCTCCGAGCCGAGGGAAGGGTCACGAACTCTGACCCCCCTCCCCAAATACACAAACTCAGAAACCTTCCTGCCCTTACTCGATCCCCTTCTTTTCAGCCTTCCGTGACTTCCGCTCCCCTAGCGCACCGCCCGCTCCCCGGGAGACGCCGCCGTCGGGTCCGTGCCCGAGGCGGGACAGCGCGGCGGAGGAGCCCCGGTAAGGAGTGCCGGGCGCGGAGCCCAACGGCCAACGGCCGCGGCCCAGATCCGCCCGGCTGGCGTGTGCGGCGGCCGGCGGAGCCAGCGGCGTCGGCGGATCCCTCGGCTGGGCTGGCAGCGCGGGGCGAGCGGCCGGCGCCCCGGGAGGGCGGAGTGCGGGGCGCGGCGGGCTGGGGGCCGCGGGCGGGCGGCGCGTGCAGCCCGGCCTCCTCTGCAGCCTCTCGCGACGCCTCTGACCTTTCACCTGCAGGAAAAGCTTCCGTCTCGGCGCCACCTTCCCTTCCCGCCCCGCCCGGGGGCGGCCAGGGCCTGGGGAGGGGAGGCTGAGGGAGGGAGGCTGGGAGGGGGAGGCTGAGGGAGGGGAGGGGAGGCTGAGGGAGGGAGGCTGGGAAGGGGAGCCTGGGGAGGGTGCGCCCTGAGAGTCAGGCGGTTGGAGCATGAGGGAGGGGAGTCTGGGGAGGGGAGGGGAGGTTGATGGAGGGGAGCCTGGGGAGGGTGCGCCCTCAGAGAGGGGAGGCTGCGGCGGGACCCTGGGAAGGGGGCACCCTGCTCCCCACCGTTGAGGCCTCCTCCCGCCTGGCAGGGTACTGATCCCAGAGCTGAAACAGGAAGAACAGGGTGATGCCCCTCCTAGCTGCTGTCTTTGGATTTAAAAAAAAAAAGAAAAAAAAACTTAGATTGGCCAGGTCCGAGCTTCCAAGAGTTCTTTTGTTAGGAACCGGCCTCCAGCTCGTGCAGATAGCATATTATGAACTCCAGGCGTCACTTTGTTGCTCCGTAGGTAGGATCAGTCTGGGAAAAAGTGACTGGAAAGTTAACGCAAAGAGATTGAAGGCCTTTAGAGTTTTTCGTGCTTCTGGAACTTGTACAATAGGCCTTCCACCGTCAAATTTTTGAATGGTGCATGCTGGGTGGATCAGTTGATACGTGGAGATGGCTTTTAACCTTTGGTTTATACATCGTCTTGCTGGATCTGAAAGACACATGTTTATGGTTACTAAAAAAGGATTGTGTTGAAGGCTGCTGATTTCATCAGCCTTTGTAGGAACATTTCAGTCTCGATTTAGGAAGGATTTTGAGGGAAACAAGACAATGGAAGAAAGCATAAGCAAAATGGGTTGTCACAGGACATGTGATTCCTACTCTTGAGGAAGGAAAGCAAGAGGACACGGTGAATAGCAGGTAGTTTGACTAGAATTTTTTTTATTAAAAAAAAAAGCACCGGGCCTTTGACAACCTTTTAAAATCTCATGAATTGCCATCACAAAAATGCAGTTATGTATAATTTTGCATCCATTGCTAGCAGCTAACACAGATCTGTTCCTTACTTTTAGAAGTTTAATGTGGTAATGTATTGGCGGTGTTTGGGTTGGTCAGGGACATAGCCGCCTACTTTAGGGGCGAGTTTTCTGGTATCTGCAATGATTATGTTAGTATGAGAACAAGTTGTTATAAAACAAAATTTTCGCTCATATTTTTATGTCTTGTGCATAGTTTACCCCTGGATTGACATGAGACCTTTGCTAGATGATTCTGCTTGAATATACCTGTTTTGTGTACCAAGAACTAAATGAAGCCGGTCTCACTTTACAGGGTTTGTCCCTGCAGATTCACAAGGGATTTGTTCCCTGAAATCATGTTAATGGTATTATGGTGGGAACCTAACCCACCAGTGTTGCATAGAGATGGGGAGTGGAGCTGCTGGGATTAGTACCGCGCCCACGTGGGATCCTAGCGCATTCAAGGCAAGGACTTTAGCCATTAGGCCACTGTGCTGGGCCTCTTCCTCTACTGCTTTTTCAGCCACATGTAGGGAGATAGATGGGAAGTAGAATAGCTGGGATTAGAACCAGTGCCCACATGGGATCCCAACACATGCAAGGTGAGGACTTAAGCCCCTAGGCTACCACGCCGGACCCTCTCATATGCTTTGCTATCTAGTCTTTATAGTTTGAGATTTCTCCTGTTCTGCATTTTTTTTTATTACAAGATTTATAATTCAATAAAGGCTCCTTTTGAAAGATTTAGTCATTTTTACTGGAAAGGCAGATTTATAGAGAGGAGAGATAATGAAAAAGATCTTCCCTCTGTTGGTTCACTCTACTTATGATCGAAATGGCCAGAGCTAAGCCCATCTGAACCCCAACGCCAGAAGTTCCTGCCAGGTTTCCCACACAGGTGCAGGGTTGGAAGAGCAGGGAGCTAAATGGGGTGTGGAGCAACCAGGACTTGAATTTGCATGCATTTAGGATCCCAGCTCTTATAGGAGGAGGAGGATTAGCTAGCTGAGCTGTTGTGCTATACCCTAAAGGCTCTTGATATGTGCCTGCAAGTGAGTTTTCTAACAGACTTGTAGCAGTTCAGCCTTCTACCCACAATTTATGAAACATGAGGGCTTTGCCTCTTCTTTAGTTAAATTTAATGCTTGTGACTAAAAGAAGCCACTAACAAAGATGTGGAAAAATGAAGCACATCCTAAATTGAAGTAACTTCAACTAATATGTATAAGTAGAGTATAAAATTAAACATGACACCTCAAATCCTATAGATGAAGGAAAGACTGAAAAATATTAAGAGGAGATATAATATTAAGTCTACATGCTGTATCAGTGTTACCATAAACACCAAACTGGCAGCTAGGTGAATGCTACCAGACTTTGTAGTCCAGAAAAGTCGGAGCTGTTTGGACTGTCTTAAGGCACACAAGTCTCCCATGTTGGTGGCAGCAAAGGGACAAAACTCCAATCTGCATTAAATAGTGGCACTAGAACAGGAGTTACTGAATGAAGCTAAAAGTCATTAGGAACTGGAGTAACTGGCTTGCCTGAGAATCCACGAGTTTTTTGTTTGTTTTGTTTTTTGTTGTTTTTTTTTTTTTCAATATTATTTGTTCATTTGAAAAGCAGAGCCACAGAGGGAGAAGCAGAGAAATCTTCCATCTACTGGTTTTCTCCCTAGATGGCTGCAGTATCTGGGGCTGGGACAGACTGATGCCAGCAGCCAGAGCTTCTTCCAGGACTGCACTTGGGTTGCAGGAGCCCAAGCACTTGGGCCATCTTGTGCTGCTTTTCTGGGACCCTCAACAGGGCGCTGTGTCACAAGTGGAGTAACCAGGACACCATCCCCTTCCTCTGTGCGGGATGACGTCACAAGCAGTGGCTTTACTCACAGCCACAACACCAGCTCCAGGTGTAGGTAAATCTTGCAAGACTCCAACGCAAGCGAAATGATTTTTATTTAACATCCAGTTGGGCAGCTACCCTTGCCATGAATAAGGAGCACATTGAACAAAATAAGTGTAGAGTTTTTATAGCAAGTCTCTATGGGAAAATCAAAAGCTAGGTGACAGTGAGCAAACACATGAGTAGGGCCTTTTTCCTAACACAAAGCAAAAAGCAGACAATAGTGCAGAGGCTTGGGATCCTGATGCTGTCACTTCAGTGCAGACAGTAGTAAAATAGCATGCCTCGGACCGTCCTTGGAAATCTAAAACGCCACGATGCTTCCCACCTTCTGTCTGCTTCCTGGCGTTTCAGGAAGCAGGATGCAGGTGTCTCTGGAGATTCCAGACTTCCATGAGTACAGTCACCTTTACAGTTAACCTTTCATAGGGCTGTGACAGTTAGAAATATGATATTCAGAGCAGTGTAGAGGAAAATAAGTAGGTTTTTGTTTTGTTTTGATTTTTCCATTTGAAACAGATTTTACAGAGAGGGGACACAGATCTTCCATCCACTTGTTCACTCCTTAAGTGGCCTCAACTGCTGTGGTTGAGCCAGGAGCCTCTTCTGAGTCTCCCATATGAGGGAGTACAAGGGCTCAAGAATTTGAGCCATTCTCTGCTGTTTCTCAGTTTGTAAACTGGATTGGAAGTAGAACAACCAGGACTAGAACCAGCGCACATATGGGACACTAGCACAGCAGGTGGAGAATTAACCAACCCCAAAATAATAGCATTATCAGAGACTAGAACATTAGACTAGTGTCCTGTATATATTCATTTTATTATAGCCAGCACATAGTATGTGTAGGATACAGCTTTGTGTTCATTTCTATTTTTAAAATACTTTATTCATTTAGAATGATGTTTCCTTTTAAATATCATTTCCTTTCAAAAAAAGAGAGAAAGCTGTCATCTACTGGTTGACTCCCCAAGAGTATATAATAGCTAAGGCTGGCCAGAAGCTGGAAATTCACAGGTTTCCTGCGTGGGTGGTAGGAGCTCCATTGAGCCATCACCACTGCCCCCCAGAGCCTCCGTTAGCAGGAAGCTGGTTCAGAGCTGGAACTGGATATTGAACCTAGGAATTCCTGCATGAAACACTGCTTAGTAGTTTTTGTTGTTGTATAAGACATATTTATTTTTATTGGAAAGTTGGATTACAGAGAGGAGGAGAGACAGAGAGAAAGATCCTCTGTTAGGTTCCAAAATTGTCACACCGTTGGACAGCTAAGAACTAGACGTGGATGCAATCAGCAAGCAGAGTTTATTGAGCTGGCTAGCCAGGGTCATGCTCCTCACACAGACACGCAGGAATGGTGGATGAAGCAAGACCCCGAGCCAGGGACAAGTCAGATTCTTATAGGCCCATTTGGCTGTTACAGTAAAGCCCGCGCTCGTGAAAAACGCTCTAATCAATTTAAAGCAAATATGAAACACTCCAGTCAAATACAGGCATGACTAAAGGCCCACGAAATGCCTCAAGTCCTTATTCATCATGACAAGACAAAACTATTCTAAGCTAAGGGGTTACAGATGCAAAGCAATAGGTAACATATCTGTGAAATACAGGATAAGGGGCTATTTATTTTTACCCTTATCAGGGCCACTGACCCTTACATCCTGAGCCTGGGTGTATGGCCCAAGTTATTTGTAAAAACTTCTCCTTTTTACTTTAAATTCAAGTTGCTTCTGACTTACTCAAACCACTTCTAGTATGTAGACCTTTTAACATTTTGGTTGCCTCTAACATCCTCCATCCGATGAATCACTCCCTAAGTGACCACAACGGCCGGTGCTGCACCAATCTGAAGCCAGGAGTCAGGAACCTCCTCCAGGTCTCCCATGCCGGTGCAGGGTCCCAAGGCTTTGGGCTGTCTTCGACTGCTTTCCCAGGCCACAAGCAGGGAGCTGGATGGGAAGTGGAGCTGCCAGGATTAGAAACAGCGCCCATATGGGATCCCAGCGTGCATTCAAGGCAAGGAATTTAGCCACTAGGCCACAAGGACTGCCCAAGGCCTTGGGACCCTGCACCCATGTGGGATACCCGGAAGAAGTTCCTGCATCCTGGCTTCGGATCGGCATAGCATCGGCCGTTGCGTTCATTTGGGGAGTAAATCATCGGACGGAAGATCTTCCTCTCTGTCTCTCCTCCTCTCTGTATATCTGACTTTCCAATAAATAAATAAATCTTTCAAGAAAAAAAGAAAGAAATAGGATTATCTACCAAAAAAATTGTAGAGGGCTGTGTTATCTTCATGCCTTGAACCTCCATAAATTCTGTGGCTGAACAATTGTGACATCTGAAGTCTACCCATAGTGGGCTGAGTGGAGGGAGACTGTTGGGCTTCTGGGCTTTTCAGGACGGGCCGAATAGAGCTACCTGGATGTGAGCATTGTTTTCCTTTAGAAAAAAGAAAGACTGATCCCAGAAGTAGAGCTTAGGAGGCAGGTCTGTGTTTCTGTAGTTGGTTCTAGATATGTTGGGGGCTCCCCAGCGTCTAGTAAGGAGGAGGGGCTGGTGCTGCAGGTAGAGCTGTCTCTTGGTGCTCACTTCCCATGTGAGCACTTTTTTAGTTTCTGCTGCTGCACTTCTGATCCAAGACCTTGCTAATGCACCTGAGAAAGCAACAAAAGATGGCACGGGTCCTTGGGCTGCTGCATCCATGTAGAAGACCTGAAAGAAGCTCCTGCTTCCTGACTTTCGAATGGCCCAGTTCTGTCCATCTCAGTGGTGTGGGGAGTGAACCTGCAGATGGAAGACCTCTTTGTCTTGCTGTAACTCTGCCTTTCCAATTAAATAAACAAATGAAAGTTAAAAAACAAAAAATTAAAGTATGTGTATGTTTTTCAAAAGTTGAGGAGGCCAATACTTTGGCTTAACCAGCTAATCCTTTGCCCGCAGTATTGGCATTCCATGTGGGTGCCAGATTGAGTCCTGGCTGCTCCACATCTGATCCAGCTGCTTCGTATGGCATCGCAAGCCATGGCTTAATGTGTCCCTAGACTTGCCTTTTTTTTTTTTTTAATTTTAAATATAGGTTTATTTAAGCCATTGCATTTTCCACCTAAGATACAATGCATATAGAGTGCAGTATTACTTTCTTTCCATGTGCATATGTTTCATATTCAAGTATTGAGAATGCCCAGTCATTTAGTGTAGCAACCAAACTTTAAACTGCAAGAATATGCTACAAATTTGGGTCTTCCCATCTCCTATCCTGTAGAACAATGCTGCATCTACACTGTGGTTGACTTACTCGACCTCTTCAGTGGTGGGCCCTGAGGAAGTACCACCAAGTGGAAGAGCACCTCCAGGGAAGCCCCCAGGGGTTACCTTTTCCGTAAATGTTTGAAATTTCCTCATGTTTGGGAAATTGCCACTAATGAAGGTCAGAAAATTCTAGATGAATTTTTAGTGAATGTAATCCTTTGGTTGTGTTTTTTTGTTTTGTTTTATTTTTGTTGTTGTTTTGTTTTTTTATAAAACTGATCAAAGTATTTGAAGTGGCTTCAGACTTGATTTTGTTCAGTGACAGGGTTGCCTCTTATTTTAATTAGTAAATTTTACTGATTACAGTTCTGTTTAGGCTTCCATATGTTAGAGAAGTAAACTTGTTTGATTTTAAATGGTTTTGATTTTGATGGGTTTGTTTTACTTACTTGAAGGGCAGCGTTCCAGAGAGGGTAAGACAGAGATCTATCCAGTGGCTCGCTCCCTAGATGGCCACAATGGCTGGGGCAGAGCCAGGCTGAAACCAGAGGCCAGGAACAGATTTTAATATCCTATAACTGTATTTGCAAGTTATGTAGTAAGCATGTTTTTTTTAATGGATAGAATTGTCAAAAAAAAAACCATCTTTTTGTTTTTGGCAGGTGTTTTAGCAGTTGGATCATGGCAACCATAGAAGAAATTGCACATCAAATTATTGAACAACAGATGGGAGAGGTATGTCTAATTTAGAAATCTTTCATTGATTTATCATACTTCTATTATTTACTCTAAATGTGTATAGTAAATTCTGGAGGTACAAAGAGAAGATATACTCTTACTTTCAAAAATACTTTTTCTGTCTAGTAAATAATTGAGTAGTTAGTCAAAATGGAGTTTATTCTGGTGTGATGGATAGGTGATTGTATTGGGTGAAATGGGGGCAGAATAAGAGCAGGTGAGTTGTGGAGTGGGTGATGTATAGAGGAGATGTATTTTGGAGATTGCAAAATGTCCCAGCCTTGATGGAGTAGAGGAGTTAGTTGATGTCAGTGTAGACATCTTCATTTTTCGGATGATTTTATCTTTCTCCTTGTCAGACATAGCATTATCTGGAAACCAGTATCATCTGACGCTTTCAGAAAGTGTGTCAGGTCAAAACTGTTTTTGTAATACAAATACTAAAATGTTATTTGCTTTTTCATTGTTCTCCCACAAGCATACAGTGGAAATTTCCACAAGCTACATGACATGTGTTGACACTGTACTATGAACTGTACCAACTTTTAAAAGGCATACATAATTCCATAAACAAGTGCTTGATGTTACAAAATCATAAATGAGTAAGGGAGCCAAATTCTAGAATAAACCAGTTTATTTTGAAATAACTTTTTATTTCACATGGCAACTGACCTTTAAAAAGTTGCCATCAGGGGGTAGATTTTTTTGTAGTGCCATTAAGTTACCATTTGGGATGTCAAGATTCCAATCACTATGCACTTCTAGCACCTCTTCCTGCTAATGTGTTCCCTTGGAGACAGCAGGTAATAGCTTAAGTACTTGGATCCCTGTCACTCTTGTGGGAGGCCTGGATTGATGTGCTAAGCTCATAGCTTCAACCTGGCTCAGTTCTGACTAAACCATTTGAGCATTGAACTGTCAGATGGAAGATGTGTATATGTATGTATGTGTGTATTTCTCTGTTGCTCTGCCTTTCAAATTAATAGAAATAAATGGAACTCTTTTTCAAAAACTACCACTTGTTGAATGAAGTTTGGTTTAGTATTGAAGGCCAATATACAAAATGTAAAAAGACTGCTAAAAATATCTCTTACCCTTTAAAACAGTAAATATAGGCTGTGTTTTTTTTTTATTTGAACAAAAATAGTATATTTCAGCAGATTGAATAACAAGTCTTAGAGAAGATTATACTTTTTTTAAATCATAGATCAAAGTGATTTGCAAAAATAATTCTGTTCTCTCTGTTGACATTTACTTGGATAATAAAACTTGATTTTTATTTTATAATGCTGCTTAAATTTTAATGGATTAGTTAAATGGATTAAATATTCTTTAATTTTTTTAAGATTTATTCATTTTTATTTGAAAGGCAGATACACAGAAGGAGACAGAGATATCTTCCATCCACTGGTTCACTCCCCAAATGGCTACAATGGCCAGAGCTGATCTGAACCCAGGATCCAGGAGCTTCTTCTGATTCTCCCACATGGGTGCAGAGTCCCAAGGCATTGGGCTATCCTCTATTGCTTTCCAAGGCCACAAGCAGAGAGTTGGATGGAGCACCCAGGACATGAACTGGTGTCCATGTGGAATCCCAGCAGTTGCAAGGCAAGGACTTTAGCCCACTAGGCTACCACGCCGGGCCTGTGCCTCACCTGGCCCCATTTTAAGGATATTTTTTTAAGATGTATTTATTTATGTGAAATCCAAATTACAGAGAGATTGGAGAGAGAAATATCTTCCATGCACAGGTTTATTCCATATATTGCTGCAACAGCCGGCAGTGTGCAGGTCTGAAGCAAGGGACCTGGAAGTCCATGTTGCGTTCTGGAGTCCAGGCCTTGGGCTGACCTCCAGTGCCTTTCCAGGCACGTTAGCAGAGACCTGGAACTGAACCCAGTGTACAAGAGCACCTGCTCCTCTGCTGTTCCCTGTTTGGTTCTGGAGTCCAAGCACTTGAACCCGTGCATACACCTAAAGTAGTTCTGTAAGAAATAAGTGTGAGTCACTCGTCAGTTCACAATGGGTACGCTGATAGAAATAATTAAAATACTGGCAAAATAAAAGTAACAAAAGGTGAAAACTTTGACTTCGCAAAATTTGTTATAGATGAGCTGATTTTTTAAAAGTCTCATAGGTACTGTTGAAAGTTGTAAAATTATTGATACCAAATAGAGAATGGATTTGGTATAAATAACCTATATTTTAAAAATGGACAACAGTTTAAAAACCATACTTAGAGGGCCCAGCATGATGGCTCAAAGGCTAAATCCTCCCCTTACAAGTACCAGCATCACCCAAGGGTGCTGGTTTGTGTTCTGGCTACTCCACTTCCCATCGAGATCCCTGCTTGTGACCTGGGAAAGCAGTAGAGGATGGCTCTTCCCCTACCAAGAAAGAAAAGCTGGGCCCACACTGTTTCTGCAAGGACAGGAGGTAGACTGAGTAGGGCTGGCTCATGAACCCACCAATATTTGCGAAATCTGGCATTGGGAGAGGTTCTGGCGGAAGAGCCTGGGCAACTCCTCTGGCAGGACACAGTCCCTGGAGGTAAGCACAAGAAGCACGATAGGGAATGCTTAGAGCAGGCCATGGGAAGGTACCCACTGGCATACGTTTGGCATGGGTCCGGGGCCAGACCAGGCTGAACTAATTCACATCACCAGCTGGCTAATCCGAGCACCAGAACAGAGTGTGGGTCGGGCCAGGTTCGGTCACGACAAAAATCAGTGCACACTGGGAAATGCCAAGGTGAGGTGACCTACACTAGATGTGGCTGCAGCCGCAGAGGAATATGGAAGGCTCCCCTGCGGGACAGCCGCTCCCACTGGAGAGCATGGATTGGGATGGGGCCAGACCAGGCCAGGTAGGGTTAAAACACCTGTGGGCCTCTTGTGAGCTAGATCAGGGAAAAGCCAGGCTGGGTTCACTGTTCCTACTGGTGCAAGCTAAAATTAGAGTGGGTGAGGGCTAGTTGGGCTTTGCTGCAACATCAGCTGGCAGAGGCTGGCACTGGAAGCTAAATCTTTCAAGTGAAATTCCAGAACCACCTGGAGAGTGCATAATCTGGGAGTGGGAGTGGCCTAGTAGGGAAACAGTGGACTCCTCCCTCTTGGGTTACCACTCCCACTGGAGAGCACAAAAACCAGGACAGGGACAGGGGTAGCTAGACAGAAAGGCACCCAACAGCATGTGTATGGGTTGGATAGCGGAGCTGGTTAGGTTGAATGCCCATTGACATGTATGAGAGCTGAATGGGATGTGGGAAAGACTGGATTAGTCTGCTGTACATACAGACAAGTATGGGAACCAGAGTAGTGGACAGGTCTGCTGGGGGTTATTGTGGGTCACTCCAACTAGACTGCACTGGTTTATGTGAGGGCTGAATGTGTGCTGGGCAGAATCAAACTGGACTGCAACACCCATTGGTTCTAGTGGAAGACAGGGCTGGAAATAGATCTGACCCAGCAATTGCAACCACCAGCTGATTGGGGCAGTGGTCTGTATTGGGCCCTGTACTTGCGAGTACACATAAGAATCTGGTCTGGGATCATCTCAAAGTTTCTTTGGGGATCGCCCCAATTGAACTGCCAGACACAGAACTCTAACCATGAAAAGAAGTGGAGGTTCCATGGTCTGCCATGGAGTGCAAGTGTTAGAGCCGAGCCTCCTCAGAGGCTCACATGGAGCAGTGGACAGCATAACCAGGTACACATAGAGGATATGGCAGTCCATCAGAACCTGCAGAGGACACCCAGTACACCAACAGAGGACGGAGGACAGAACAAATCAATCAACTACCCCAGCCACATATTTTGGCAGTGAAAAACTGGGCAAACAAAGACTCTCAGGTAAACTATGTCAAACAGTGGATTCTGCAGCATCCTCATGGTGCCTAGAATGGCAAGATTGGTAGCAATTCATAACTGTTGAACTATCAAAACCACTTAAGCAAGACCCTCGGAGCTTGCCCCACATCAGGGACCTGGGATGCATGGGACCTGGGTGGGGCTTCTCCCTTTATTTCCCCCTTTACCTCAGATACATGACAAAAACAATGTGGAAATAATAGTCTTACCCACTTTCCTGTAGCCCTTGAACTTTTGTGCCTTAATTAACTATGTAACAATTGTCAAAAAAAAAAAAAAAAGAAAAGCAAAAGATAATATATACATACATATATAATATTTATATATTATCTTTTGCTTTTCTTTTTTTATCTGTATATATATAATCTAAAAAAAAAAGCATGAGAGAATTCCTTCTGAAACAGAAAACACAAACCACAAAGAAATCGATTGATAGCCTCAAACACATTAATATATTTGCAACTCAGTAAGAGAAAACCCTAAAGTGAAATGGGCAAAAGCTACAGATAGTCTACAGAAGAGGAAACTAGTGAATATGTTAAACTATGTTTCAAACACACTGGTAATTAGGGAATCACAAGTGAAAATCAATATAGGATAATATTTCATACCTGCCACACTTCCAAAAAAAAATCAAAGGGGTCTGGCACGGTAGCCTGGTGGCTTAAGTCCTCATCTTGAACGTGCCGAGATCCCATATGAGCACAGGTTCTAATCCTGGCAGCCCCACTTCCCATCCATCTCCGTGCTTGTGGCCTAGGAAAGTAGTGGAGGACGGCCCAAAGCCTGGGGACCCTGCACCCACATGGGAGACCTAGAAGAAGCTCCTGGCTTCAGATTGGCTCAGCGCTGGCCATTGCGATCACTTGGAGAGTGAATCATCAGACAAAAGATCTTCCTTTCTGTCTCTTCTCTCTGTATATCTGACTTTCCAATAAATAAATCTTTAAAAATAAAAGAAATAGGGGCCCGGCGGTGTGGCCTAACAGCTAAAGTCCTCGCCTTGAACACCCCAGGATCCCATATGGGCGCCGGTTCTAATCCCGGCAGCTCCACTTCCCATCCAGCTCCCTGCTTGCAGCCTGGGAAAGCAGTAGACAATGGCCCAAGGCCTTGGAACCCTGCACCCACATGGGAGACCTGGAGGAAGTTCCTGACTCCTGGCTTCAGATTGGCTCAGCACTGGCTGTTGCGCTCACTTGGGGAGTGAATCATCAGACTGAGAAGCTTCCTCTCTGTATATCTGCATTTCCGATAAAAATAAAATAAATCTTTAAAAAAAATAAAGAAAAGAAATAATAATAATAGAAGCCTTGGGACCCTGTACCTTGGTGAAAGATCTGGAAGGAGCTCCTGGCATCTGTGTTTGCATTTGTTCAGCTCCAGCAGTTGAGGGAATGGGCAAACAGATGGAAGGTCTTTCTCCTTCCCTCTGTAAATCTTATCTGTTTTTCCAATAAAAATAACTCTTAAAAACAAATACCTTGAAAGATAAAACTTGATAGAAATACTAGTCAACAAAAAAAATCTCACCTTGACAACAGCTCTTACTAGCATAATTTAGAAACTGGTGCATAAGAACTTTGCTTTAATTTTTATGAAGAGTCTTGAAAATAAAAATGGAAAATTCTGAAGCACAGTTTATTAAGGTGGATGAGCACTTCTTGAGAGTCACATCTTGTCCCAGAACCTGGGTTTGCGTCCCAGCTGCTCCCCTGTTTCCGATTTCCTGCTGTTGCTCACCTTGGGAGATAACAGGTATTGGCTCCAGTTCTGGGTCTCCTGCCCCGTCTGTGGGAGACTGGGTAGGTTTCAGGCTCCCTGATTTGTCCTGCATATGATAAGCTCTGGAGAGTGAGTCAGCAGATGAGAGATCTTCCTTCTCCCTTTCAAATACATTTTTGGGAAAAGAAAAAAAAAGAATCCTTCCTATTCCAAGGCAATAAAGATACTTTCCTTTAAAAATTAAAATGAATAAATAATTAAATTTGTTTAATGAAGTTTTCCTCCAGAAAACATGTGCTCAGTAACAAAGCCTCTCAGTGTCAGAGGCCTTTTCTTTATGAATTTGCCTTTTATCTGGAGTAGCTCTGCTCAGCAGGTGATTCTTTTCCTCCCAGCTGCTCATAATAAGTCTTTGTGAACCCATATTTTCTACGTTTGCTTACTTATTTACTTGAATGACAGATCATTTATACTCTCCAAATGATGGCAGTTTTAGGGCTGGTGCAGGCCGAGGCCAGGTTCCCGAGTCTCCATTATCTCAGCTACCCTACTGTTTTTATTTAGGATTGACTGACTGATTTGAAAGTTAAAGTGACAGAATGGAGCCAGGAGGATGGGGATCTGCACTGGTTGCCTTCAGCCAGTGGCTGCAGCAACCAGAGCTGAGCCAGGCCAAAGCCACAAGCTAGGAGCTTCACCCGGATTTCCCACATGACAGGGGCTCATATACTTGATGATTTTCCATGCCAGTGTTAGGGAGCTAGATCAAAGTGCAACAGCCTCGGGGCTGGCATTGTGGCTTGGTACGGTTAAGCCACTGTCTACAACACCAGCATCTGTATGCACACGCGGTTCATGTCCTGGCTGCTTCTGGATAAAGCCCCTGACTTCTGGATTCCGCCTGGTCCATCCCAGACCATTGCGGTTATCCTGAGAGTGAGCCAACAAAGGGAAGATTTCTCTTTTATAATAAAACTGGAGTGTTTCAAAAGAAAAATGAATCTTTAAAAAAAAATCTGGCTCAGGTATTGTTATTTAGATCTCATCTCCTATCGTAATCCCCATCATTCATATATGCCCTTGCTGGACCTTCCTTCCTGTCCAGGGCCACCTTACACATTCTGCTTCCTCTACATGGAATATTCTTCCTCTAGGTGTTCCTAAGCCTTGGGCTATCTTATTCATCCAAGTTTGTGTGAAAGTGTCACCGCCTGAGTGTTTGCCCCCACCCTCATCCCATCAGGGTCCTTCACCTTACCCTAGCTTTGTGATACTTATTAATCCCTGGCAGTGTCGTTTGCCTAGCTATCTCATCCCTACAGGATGAGAACTTCTTGAGAGCAACTATTTTGCTTTGTTCACTAAAATTCCAGGACCCAGAACAGTAAGTAAAATGCATCTGGCGTGTGTTTGGATAGATGGTATGCAATAGAGAAAGGAAGGAATTGAGATAGTGAGAACAGATGTCCTATTGTACTTTTGTTTACACATTTGTTTATTTCTGTAATTTGTAAAAGGAAAATAGCTAATTTAAAAGGTCTGTGAGTTACATTGAATACATACCTAATGATAGGCTGTTTTAATTTTGAAAACAAAATATTAGAGGAAGAAATGTCACTGAATCAATTTTTAATTGATTATTAACCTGACATAATTGTATTAGATTGTTACAGAGCAGCAAAGTGGGCAAAAAATCCAGATTGTGACAGCCCTTGATCATAATGCACATGGCAAGCAGTTCATTCTGGCAAATCACGATGGCTCCGCCGCGAGCAAGGTCATCCTGGCCAGGCAAGAGTCTACTCCAGGGAAAGTTTTTCTCTCATCTCCCGATGCAGCAGGTGTCAACCAGTTGTTTTTTACAGCTCCTGATCTGTCTACACCACACCTCCAGGTAAGCAACATGGAAGCATCTTCTCATCTTAAGCCTGAGAGATATTTGAAAAGATGTCATACTAGGTCCTGACTTTAAGACATTTTTTTAGTAGGAAAACAAAATCTTTTATAAAAGTTAATGCAGTGTGGAGCATCCATGTTGACCCCCCTGGACGAACCACTGTTTTTCTTGATAGTTTTCATACTGATCAGTTTTGGGCAGGTCCTTAGTTGCATACACTGAGAGCCTCTCTGACTGGCATGGGCTGGCAGAGTATGGAAGACTCAGGATGATTGTGAAGGCTGGAGGAACAGCTCTGGGCCAGGTTTCCAAGAATAAGCATTGGAGTAAAGTGCAGAACTGGTCTCTGAGAGGCCTGCCGCTTAGGGAGCAGGTCAGAGCAGCAGATGCTGAACCAAGCTGCTCAGTTACCAAGCAGGTACCGCAGTTGCTAGGTTTAGCTTTGTACCTTCTCAGATCCACCAACAGTCTGCTTTACCTAGATTAGTACTATATCATTTTAATATTTGGTAGAATATTAAACTTTAAATATCTGCTGGAATATAGGGTTGTACTTTATTCTTTAAAGAAACAGTTATAATTTCTGCATGCTGTGTGCTTGTGGATATTTGGACTGCAGTTTGCTGTGATTTGGAGCAGGTGAAATACACCCATCTACTTAAAATTGAATTCCAGGTTTGTAGTTTTAAAAAAAAATCAATGCAAAAATTTCTTCTAGGATTGAAAAAACAAATTAACAAAAGGTAAAATTTTGCCTGCAAGTACATTCTGATCGAGTCGGTTCCTCTGATGACATTATTCATGTTTTTAGTGATTAAAGTAGAGATGGATAGGTCCATGTTAAGGATTTGTAAGTTGTTTCATCACTCAGACAAAAGTCAACAAAAATTTATAATACACACACCTTAGCCCTTATTTTATAATGACTAAACTTGGTTTTTAAAATCATTTTGGATTCTAAATAAAAAATAGCAGATAGCACAGTGAGTAATACACTCCCAGCAGTTTCTCTATCACATTTTACATTATGATAAATTTGCTAAATATTATGATTCAGCACTGGTACATTACTAACTGGTGTAAATAGGTCTTTGGACTTTACTTGTTTTTTCTTTAAGATTTATTTTTATTGGAAAGGCAGATATACAGAGAGGAGAGACGGAGAGGAAGATCTTCCGCCTGATGATTCACTCCCCAGACGGCTGCAACAGCCGGAGCTATGCCGATCCAAAGCCAGGAGCCTCTTCCAGGTCTCCCACGCGGGTGCAGGGTCCCAAAGCTTTGGGCCGTCCTCGACTGCTTTCCCAGGCCACAGACAGGGAGCTGGAAGGGAAGCGGGGCTGCTGGGATTAGAACCGGTGCCCATATGGGATCCTGGTGCGTGCAAGGCGAGGACCTTAACCACTGCACCACCGCGCCGGGCCCTGGACTTTACTTTTTATCTATTGGATCAGGATCCCATCCTGGATACCACGCTACATTTTATAGGCAGGTCTGCTCAAGATCCTCCTGTGACAGCTTCTGACTTTGTTATTGACGAACTTGACAATTGTGAGGAACACTAGTCAGATATAGTATGATATATCACTATTAGTCTTCAATGTTTTCCCTATGATAAGGATTGAGTTTGAGGAGAAACATTGTATAAAAGATACATAATTTGTGATTGCTGAGTTTAATTTGACCAGCTGGAAAAGTATTTCTCAGATTTCCCCATTACAGTTACTCCATCTTTAAAAAAAATTCTCCTGTTTTGGGTGTGCGTGCTGATATAGCACAGTAAGCAGCGACTTGGAGCATATGCATGCCACATTGGAGTGCCTGTCCAGATCCCAGCTACTCTGGTTACTCCACTTTGAATCCCATTTCCTGCCTATGTACCTAGGACAGAGTGAATGATGGCTCAGGCACTTAAATGTGTTTCCAAGTGAGAAATACAAACGGAGTTCTACCTCCTGGCTTCAGCATGGCCCAGTCTCAGCTGTTGGAGATAGTATTGGCACTCTCCTGCTTCCTGGGTTGTCTGGGATAATGAATAAATTTAGGGGTAGTGGGTCCGGCACAGTGGTCTAGCAGCTGAAGTCCTCGCCTTGGGCATGCTAGGATCCCATTAGGATGCCAGTTCTAATCCCGGCAGCCCCGCTTCCCATCCAGCTCCCTGGTTGCGGCCTGGGAAAGCAGTTCAGGACGGCCCAAAGCTTTGGGACCCTGCACCCACATGGGAAACCTGGAGGAAGTTCCTGGATCCTGTTTCGGATTGGCGCTGCACTGGCAATTGCAGTCACTTGGGGAGTGAATCATTGGGCAGAGATTCTTCCTCCCTGTCTCTCCTCCTTTGTGTATATCTGACTTTGTAATAAAAATAAACAAATTTTTTTTAAATGGGGGGTAGCTTGGATTTCCCTTAGACCAAGACTTAATTTCTTGTCCCCTGATCTAAAATGGAATGTATGCATGTCTCCTAGGCTTTCGGTGTCCCCTCTAGCCTTGGAATAATGGGCTATGAAAGCTTAGTATCATTTTGTAGTAGACATATTATTAGGGAAAAAAGTGATACTATACATAGATGCTTTCAAAGGATATCTAATATTAGAAATTCTGTTTTTCTGTTTGCTTCCTGAAGCCTGATTTTTGTCATGATAAGACCCTGGAAAAATAACTTCGCTAGGACTGATGACTGCTTGACATGTTCCACATGGTAGTGTTTAGTGCTTAGTGGGTAATACATTAAGAACTTCTCATTTTTTTGAAATGTTGAACAGGTTGGTTACTTTAAACATATCAAAAATATATTTTTAGTCTTCTTACTACAACATTTAAATTTTCCCCTAATTTTAAGAATAAGTGGTGGTTTAATTAGTTTGTACAAAGCAGTAGAGTCAAGCTTTAAGAGTAATATAGGAAAAAGAGGCACACAGCCAGGACTAGCCGAATATGACTTGGATTTTTGAAAGAATGAGAGTGTTACTGAATAGCAATTTTTTTTTAAGCTCTTAACAGATAATTCCTCGACAGACCAAGGGGCGAACAAGGTTTTTGATCTTTGTGTGGTGTGTGGAGATAAAGCATCAGGTAACAATAAACTTTCTGTATGTGTTGATAAAATAACTCACTCTGTATTTCATATAAAAGCAAAAGAAAACCATATATCATTTTTATGGTTTATATTTGTAACCTGAAAGATTTTTTTCAGAACTTTTTTCTTTAGTGTTTTTTTGTTTTTGTTTGTGTTGTTTTAAGATTTTTTTTTTTAAATTTATTTTTATTACAAAGTCAGATATATAGAGAGGAGAGATATAGAGAGGAAGAGCTTCCATCCAATGATTTACTCCCCAAGTGAGCGCAACGCCCGATCCGGAGCCAGGAGCCAGGAACTTCCTCCAGGTCTCCCGCATGGGTGCAGGATTCCAAAGCATTGGGCTGTGCTAAAGCAGGGCCCGGCGCGATGGCGCAGTGGTTAAGGTCCTCGCCTTGCACACCCGGGATCCCATATGGGCGCTGGTTCTAAGAAGAGGCTCCTGGCTTTGGATTGGCTCAGCTCCAGCCCTTGCGGCCGCCTGGGGAGTGAATCATCAGGCGGAAGATCTTCCTCTCTGCCTCTCCTCTCTGTATATCTGCCTTTCCAATTAAAAAAAAAAGGAAGGGAGCTGGATGCGAAGTGGAGCTGCCAGGATTAGAACCAGCGCCCATATGGGATCCCGGTGTGTTCAAGGTGAGGACTTTAGCCACTAGGCCATGCCGCTGGGCCCAGTAGAGTGTTTTAATGATATAAAATGCATATTTCACTGGAATATGAGATGTTTCGTATTTTGAAAATAGGGCAGCATTGTGGTATATCAGGTAATGCCACTGCCTGCAGTCACAGCATCCCAAATGGACATTGGTTCAAGTCCTGGCAGCTTTGCTACTGATCTCACTCTCTGCTGAGATTACTGAGAAGCCAGTGCCAGATGGCCCCCAACTTTGGCCTGGCCCAGCCCTGCTCATTGTAGCCATTTGGGAAGTGAGCGAGCAGATGTAATTTCTCTCTGTTCCGTCTGCCTTTCAAACCAATCTTTTTTTTTTTTTTTTAAATAAATGTAAACAAAATATCTGTAAGTGAAAATCAGGCATTTTATCAAAACAATTATTTAAAAATGAGTTCAACTCCTTGAGACTATTGCATTTAATTGTTGTAGTGTCATTTCTAAGCCCAGTACCAGAGATGCAGAGTAATTTTAGTTAGTGAGGTGATGCGAAAATTACACTCTAGAACTGAACCAGCTATCTTCAGAGCTTTTTACTAGCAGTAGGCTTCAGACACGTCAGTTTTGTTATTGCTGCATATCAGAAACATAATACACACTTGCTTTTGCTCAAATGTTGTCACAGCTGCCAGTGGGATCTAGTTTAAGGACATAGTTTATTTTTAATTCATCATTTTAATATTTCACTATAAAAACTTGCATTAGAACTTTTCTCAGACTATGTTCAGTTTGTTAATGTATGTAAGATAAATGTGAAATAACAGGTTAATCAAAATGTACATGATTTCAGAAATTTCAAATGTATAACATCTTTTTAATTGTTATAGTAGAATCAAGCGATATTTTATCCATTGTTCTGAAGCATAGTTGTCAAATAAAAATGTCTTGAAATGTTATTAAAATAACAAAACTAATTCTTAAATCATGTCAAAAGTGAAAAGTAATGAGATGGTTGGTAATATTTTTTTTCTCATTCCCAAATTTCCTACACACCCTTGCCAAGGTTACCTTCTAAAATTAAGAACTTCATATTGTTCACCTGTCAGAGGATATAGTCGTTTCATTCTCTAATAATGGCTAAACATTTTCAAGTCAGAAGCTCAGAACTATCAGTTTCATCTCATATATTATTATTTAAAAGAGATAAATGAGTTCATTCCATTGTTCTAAAATATATGATTTGAATTTTCTTAAATACTGTCTCTAGGACGTCATTATGGAGCAGTAACTTGTGAAGGCTGCAAAGGATTTTTTAAAAGAAGCATCAGAAAAAATTTAGTGTACTCATGTCGAGGATCAAAGGACTGTATTATTAATAAACATCATCGAAACCGCTGTCAGTACTGCAGATTACAGAGATGTATTGCATTTGGAATGAAACAAGATTGTATGTATTATTCATGGAGAAAATAATTATTATGGATATTGAAAACTAGAAATACCAAAATTAATGCATTAAAATATGTCATGTGAGGTTATTAAAAAGTTTGTGGAAATGGAATTAAAAGATAAATTTGTTTTGGTACAAAAATTTTTTAAATCTGACTGATTTATTTATAGTATGTATTTCCATACACTTTTGAAGACCTCATGCATTAGCTTTATAACTTAGTTTCCAACAAAAAAATAAAAATGTGTGTGTATAAATATGTATTTTTTCTCAATATAATATATTTCTTGGATATGTGTTTAACAAGGTTGTATTTGTAGCTTAGGCAAAAAAAAAAATCCTGTTGACTTTTTTTTTAAAGGAGCCAGTAAAGTGACTAATGAGACAAAAGAGCTAATATTTATTGACTCAGACACAATCTTAGCATATGATTTAATTAATCTCACAGTACTTCTCTGTTGTAGGTAATGCTGTGTTTCTATTTTACATTGAATGAAAAAATTGAGAAACTTGGCCAAGGTCGTATAGCTTTGAAGTGGTAGAAACTTGCCTTTGAATGCCGGCAGTTTCTTGGTTGCTCAGAAAGCATGCATTAAACAGCTGCACTGCCCACTCTCCCAGATACCATGAAATTAAAATTGTTAGAAACATTAAATATTACCCTTATTTATAAATGGCTGAATTTTCCCTAAAAACCTATTAGCCTAAAGAATGTTAAGCCTTTTTATGTCTATTGGCACTATTTTCAATGGATTCAACTTCATTTCGCTTTTCAAAATTCTCACATTAGTAAGTAAGGAGCTCTTTAGTTCTTTCTTAGCGGTGAGCTCCTCCTCTTGCATGGGTGTTCGGTACAGTGATAAAGATATTTCTGGGATGCTCCCATCCTGGTTTGGGATCCCTGGTTTCAAGTCCTAGCCCTACCTCCAATTGCAGTTTCCTTGTATTGCGTGTCCCGTTAGGCAGCAGGTGATGGTCCAAATGCTTAGTTTTCTGCCATTCACATGGGAGACCTGCATTGAGTTGCTTTGGCCTGCCCTGGCCTGACGCAGCCTGCCTTTGCAGGCTTTTGGAGAATGAACCAGAATGTGCAAAGACACATGCATATTCTCTGTTCCTTTTCCTTATTCTCTTTTTCTCCTGTGTAAATAAATTTTTATCACAGGACTTGGGGAAGCTGGGACAGGAAAGAGATGCAGTTGACCAGTTTTATTAATGTGAAATAACTTTGTTGAACTTGGATATAATTTATAAAGATTGGGAATTATCTTTAGAGTTTTACTGTGGTAATTAGGTCCCTCAGTTAACACTATTGCTGACTTAGGGCTTACATTTATAATTGTCTATAAATTCTATATTGTGATACAACTCATTAAACATATTTTTGTAGCTGTTCAGTGTGAAAGAAAACCCATTGAGGTATCACGAGAAAAATCTTCAAACTGTGCAGCTTCTACAGAAAAAATCTACATCCGCAAAGACCTTCGAAGTCCGTTGGCTGCAACTCCAACTTTTGTAACAGACAGTGAGGCTGCAAGGTGTAGTAAATCAGATGTTTGGCAAATGGTGGGCTGTTTTTCCTTTCAGTGAAAGCCAGACTAAAATTGATGCTTATTTGTTGTAGGTCAACAGGACTGTTGGATTCAGGAATGTTTGTGAATATCCATCAGTCTGGAATAAAAACTGAGTCAGCTGTACTGATGACACCAGACAAGGTGTGTTTAGTACAATTTTTTTTTAAGATTTATTTTATTTTTATTGGAAAGGCAGATATACAGAGAGGAAGATCTTCCGTTGGATGATCCACTCCCCAGGCAGCCGCAACGGCTAGAGCTGAGCCAATCTGAAGCCAGGAGCCTCTTGCAGGTCTCCCACGCGGGTGCAGGGTCCCAAAGCCTTGGGCCATCCTCGACTGCTTTCCCAGGCCACAGGCAGGGAGCTGGATGGGAAGCAGGGCTGCCGGGACTGGAACCAGCGCCCATATGGGATCCCGGGCATGCAAGGCGAGGACCTTAACCACTGCACCATCGCAGCAGGCCCTGTTTATTATAATTTAAAGGTTAAATTCTTCTAAAGTGTTTAAGTATTTCCCCGTTTTATTTTTTAATCTATCCCATCCCTTTGATCAGTTGATTTGACCTGAAATGTTCTTGTGATAATTTGTTCTTTTAAAACAAATTATCAGCTGTGTGGTAGAAATCTTCGTTATTCTACCACAACAATCATAACCTCAGCATGAAAGCAATAAACTTTAAAATTCGTCAAGAGTTGTTAAATTTCTCAGAAAAGTGAATTTATAAAAATTGCATTATTCTAGGGCTAAACACAATAGCCTAGTGGCTAAATCCTCACCTTGCATCTGCCAAGATTCTTTATGGTGACCGTTTTGTATCCCAGCTATTCCAGCCTTTCCAGGCTCCCTGCTTGTGGCCTGGGAAAGTAAGAGGATGGCCCAAAGCCTTGGGACCCTGTACTACATAGGAGACCCAGAGGCAGCATCTGGGTCCGGGTTCAGACTGGCTCAGCTCCGGCCATTGTGACCACTTGGACAGTGAAGCAGCAGCAGAGGATTTATCTCTCTTTTTCTCTGTAAATCTTTTTGTTTGTTTGTTTATTTGTTTTGTTTAGGATTTATTTATTTTTATTGGAAAGGCAGACATACAAAGAGGAGGAGAGAGGAAGCTCTTCCATCCGATGATTCGCTCCCCAAGTGGCCATAACAGCTGGAGCTGGCCAATCCGAAGCCAGGAGCCCGGAGCTCTTCCGGGTCTCCCACGCAGGTGCACGGTCCCAAGACTTTGGGCCATCCTCAACTGCTGTCCCTGGCCACACGCAGGGAGCTGGATGGGAATCAGGGTCAGCAAGAGTAGAACCGGGACCATATGGGATCCTAGTGTGTTCAAGGCGAGGACTGAGGACTTTATCCACTATGGTACCTTGCACTGGGCCTGTAAATCTTTTACAGTAAAAAAAATTTTAAATAAATTTTTTTTGTTGGCCCAGCATGGTAGCCTGGTGGCTAAAGTCTTCTGGTATGCAGCAGGATCCCGTACAAATAAATCTTTTTTAAAAATTGCTAAGTTCGAGATGTACATTATGGCACAGCACTTTAAGCCACTGCTTTGGATGCAGGCATTTTGAGAATAAACCAATGGGTGGGAGCTTATGTTGTGTCTGCCTCTGCAATAAATAAATAAAAATTACATAAGAATTGCAATTCCTTTTCTTCCTGCGTGGAAAAGCTGTTTTTAGCTGCAGTAAAGTGAAGTATGTGGGCTTTGCAGTCAGGCCTGATTTCCTCTCCTGCCTCTACAGTTACTGCCCATGGTAGGTCATTTTGTTTTGATGGGCAAGTGATGATTCTTATTTCACATGGTTGTTATAAGGACTAAATAAGAATTGGTAGTTATGTAAAAATTTGGTAACTGCTAGGGTATTAGTGGCATATAGCAGTTCAGGAACCATTGATGAATTTCTGGAAGACACAATTTCCCACAATCTAAACAGGTGGAATAATGAATGAAACATTAAGGAAATGTGTATATGTATTTGTGATATTAGATATGTTTTGGATTTTTTTCTTAAGTTGTTGTTTATTTTAAAGGCACAGAGAACGAGGGTAAAAGAGAGTTCCAATTTTCTATCCATTTGTTTCCTCCCCAAATGGCTGCTGGGGCTGGGGCTGGGCCAGGGGTCCAGGTTCTTGAGCCATCTGTTCCATTCTTTCCTAATTACATTAGCAAGGAACTGGATCAGCAGTGGAGCAGCCCAGACTCCCAGCTGGCCCTCCTATGGGATAGCACTGTTACTGGTGGCAGCATAAGCCCCTGCCCCATAATGCCTGTTCCCTTTGTAAGCCATGATTCTCATTCTAGAGGAGTCTTATCACAACTCTGAAAGAAAGAATGCTGAAAAACATGATCATACAGCCCCAGCTGGATCTCCCTATGCAGCCTATCAGCAAATATGTGTTGCACTGAAGCCTTAGTAAAAACCACAAAAGAATAAAGAGCCAAATTGCCCAGTAGAGGATGAGGTACTTAGACTGGGCATGGGAGTACCACCCTCCTTTGTTACCTCATCTTCTAGTTAAGTCAGTAAACACATCTGCCTAAGCTCTGTGGACCTCTCAAGCAGACTGAACAAACCTAAAGAGAGGACTGAGGGAAGCACAGGCAAAATGCCCTGGTGCTTAGGGTTAGACCTGAAGGAGGAACGTTCTTGGAGAATGGCCCCGCGACCTGTGAGATCTTAGCTTGTCTTAGGGTAGGCAGTGTCAGAATTGAACTGCAGGTTTACACGAGTTTCTATCTGCTCTGCAATTGACTGCTTCCTTCTCATGGAGGAAAAATCGTTAAACATTTTGAAATCACAGAAGTGTTTTGTATTGCTTGTGATGAGAGGGGAAATGTAAGAATATTTTAGAAATAAAAACAAAATATTAGGGGATAATACTAATTGAAAGAATAAAGTATTTTGTCAGTAAACTGTAGAAGATAATTTGAAAGGTCTTTTCCTTGATTAGGATGGATGTTTTGAGCATTAATATGCTCAGATGTCATCAAAATCTGCAAATTTAAAATGCAACTCAGAAAAACTTATATGATATTGTTAGAGGTCAACTCTGCTCTGAAAATTTATAATTAAGTGAAAGAAAAACCTAGTACTTAATTGCATTTTCTATTTAAAGTATTGTAGGTAATGAGAATTAAGGGGAAAAAATTCTTTTTTTATGAAAGAACAATAGCTAATACATAAAGAACATTTTTGGGCCTGTCGCAGTGGCCTAGCAGCTAAAGTCCTCACCTTGAACACACTAGGATCCCATTTGGGCACTGGTTCTAATCCTAGCAGCTCCAGTTCCCATCTAGCTCCCTGCTTGTGGCCTGGGAAAGCAGTAGAGGACTGCACCTGTGTGGCAGACCTGGAGGAGGTTCCTGGATCCTGGCTTCGGATCAGCACAGCACTGGCCGTTGCGTTCACTTGGGGAGTGATGCATCAGACAGAAGATCGTCCTTTCTGTCTGTCCTCCTCTCTGTATATCTGACTTTGCGATGAAAGTAAATAAATCTTTAAACACATAAAAAAAATTCTATACTATTAATAAAAGACAGTATGTAACAGAAGACCAACATTTTGTTCTTGTTTTCATAAGTTTCATTATTTTTACACTAAAATGAACTTGAAGGATAATCTAAGATCTGTGGAAGTGGGTGTTTGGCATAGCACTTAAGATACTGCTGCTAACACCTGCGTCCTGTAGCAGTCTCTCAATTCCAGTCTCTCTTGAATGCAGTTTCCCGCTAACACGTGCTTCTGGGAATCAGCAGGTGTAATTCATTTGCTTGGGTCCCTGCCACATACCTGGGAGACATTGAATTCACAGCTTTTATCTTTGACTTGACCTTTCTCTAGCCCTGTGCTGCCTTGTGAGAGGTGAACCAGTCCTGGTCCCTGTGAGGTAGCCTGTTAGCTGAAGCCCTCATCTTGCATGCACCAGGATCCAGTAAGAGTGCCAGTTCATACCCTAGCAGCTCCTCTTCTCATCCAATTCCCTGCTTGTGGCCTGGGAAAGCAGTCCAGGACTGCCCAAGCCTTGGGACCCTGCACTAGCATGGGAAACCTGGAAGAAGCTCCTGGCTCCTGGCATAGATCAGCTCAGCTCTGACCACTGAAGCCATTTTGGGAGTGAACCAGTGGATTGGAAGATCTTTCTTTAAATGTGCCTTTCCAATAAAAATAAGCCCTTTTTTTTAAAAATCCTTTTTTAGAGGAATTTACAATGACGTGAACAAATTGTGTGTGTGCAGCTTCTGGCTTAAACTTTTTAATAAATATTTCTCGGTAAATATACATGTTTTTAAACTTGCACTTTCTTTACATAGTTCTAAAAGCCCAGAGCTCTCTGTTTTTACGTTTTTGGCCTCATTTATTGTATTTTACCTTGTGGCATTTCACAATCAAATGTGAGTTGATAATTTCATATTTTAAAATGTACCAATTTTCAGACTTCTAAACACCCTTCTCCCACCCTTTTATTTTCTTAATAAAGGCTGAATCCTGCCAGGGAGACCTCAGTACATTGGCAAGCGTAGTTACATCATTAGCAAATCTTGGAAAAACTAAAGACTTTTCTCTAAATAATAATGAGATGTCTGTGATGGAAAACTTAAGTAATGGTGATACTTCTTTGTGTGACTTTCATCAAGAAATGCAAACCAACGGTGACGTTTCAAGGTAAGGCCTACTGTTATATTGTGTCTTTTAGTGCTTATTATTTTTGTGTTAGATGCTATATATGGGAGCCCTAGAGAACAAATATTTGTTAGACGTAGAAAATGTAAAGCAAAATCAGTTTAACTGAAAATGTCTGACAGATAACACTGCAAGTAACAGGAGCAATTATATATAATCAGAATGAATTCCCTGTAAAGTTAGTAACCTGAGCCTGACATTTCACATATTTTGGTTATCCTATTTTATCTTCTGTGTGTACAAAGCAATATGTTTGTGTTGCTAGAGTGGTGATTCCCACCTACAGGCTTCAGTTACACTTGACAAAAATACAGACTTGAGCTTTTCAGAGTGTGGATGCTAATACTTAGGATATAGAAATTGAACTGCTGTAGCTTTTCCCACACTTAAATAAACTGCATGCTAAGTCCTTTGTTGAACTTGAGATTTCCAGGAACTGTATAAACAAGTAAATAAGGGGAAAAAAGGAATGATGATTTCCAGGAATACTCAAAAACAAATAAGGAAAATTATGGAACGCTGTTTCCAGGAATTATTTGCTAATATTTGCTAATTTATTAATCTCTAATTCTTACATTTTAGATTTAACTGAGTAATCACAAGTTTGAAAATATTCTTTGAGCTTTTAATAAAATCAAGATACAATTTTGTATGCAGTATGGTAGAGTCAACAAAAGTTCTTATCCGTGTTCTTTCTAAATAACATGTATGTATGTCAAATAAATGGATTGATACATTGAATATATTGCTTTATAAGTGTACTTGCATACCAGAGTAGGAGGATGTTTTTACCCCCTTAATTATATGAGATTTTAACAAAGAGATCTTATATCTGGTAATAGTAATACAGTATCTAATAGTATGCATTCAAAGCTTAATTTATTGCCTTTGAGGAATCAGGTGTGTTACTGAAATAGAATTTACTACTCCACCAAAGTTCTGTTTCTAAACAAGTTTTTCAAACTTGAAATCTCAATTGTAGAATTTTTTATAGAATTTTCATCTTACTGTGGAAATTGGCTAAGCTCACAGCTTCTTTTATTTCTGCTTGTAGGGCATTTGATACGCTTGCAAAAGCATTCAATCCTGGAGAGAACACACGTTATCAGAACTCAGGAGAGGGCATGGAAGGAAGTTTGCGTGTAATTGCTGGAGATTCAAGCATAAATTACATTGAAAAAGAAGGCCCACTTCTCAGCGACTCACATGTAGCTTTCAGGGTATTTCATTTAAAAAAAAATTTTATATTATGCTAATATTGTTTGATTTTGATTTTTTTTTTCAAAGTCAAGGTATATTTGTTATGCTTTTAAAGTCAGAAATACCACTTATAGAATTTCAGAACAGCAGCTCAAACATGTCTGATTATGAAATGATAGCTGAATAAAGCAATTCTTTCATAAGCCTGTTAACAATAACAGTGATTGGATATAAGTCTAGATTTTTTTTAGAAATACTTAAATATTGTTTTTTTTTAACTTAAGAATTGGCATTCATGATACATTGAATGCTTTTCTTTGTTTAGTACCTGCTTACTACATCATGGTATATCAGTACTTAAGTCCCAGGTATTTTGCTCTTACTGTAGCTTCTGCAAAAGAAGTCTGTTTGTTGTATATCGGCCTAATTACTTGGCTTCCAGCATTGTTATAAGCAGGAACTGAGCCAGTCTGAACCCAGGAGCCATGAGCTTCTTCCAGGTCTCCCATGCAGGTGCAGAGTCCCAAGATTTTGGGCCATCCTCACCTGCCCTCAGGCAGGGAGCTGGGTGGAAAGTGGAGCAACCAGGATATGAACCTGCACCCATATGGGATCCTGGTGCATGCAAGGCAAGGACTTTAGCCACCAGGCTACTGTGCCAGGCTCTGCCATTCCTTTTTTAAAAATTCATTCTATTTCCACTTTATTCCTTTTCTTAGACAATAGCACTTGATATTTCACAATGAATTCTCAGTTAAATGGTTAATGAATGATCAGGTCTCATAAAAATTGCAATCATAAAAAAGTGACTAATGAAAGTGTAATCTATGTTAAACTCAAATTATTTTTAAAAGCTATATTATGCAGGCTTTTATCATAATTTGATAAAATACTAGAAAGATAATAGCAAAGGCAAGTGAAACCTGAAAACAAATTGATTAATTTTAAATGATTTTAAAGATTTCTTTATCTATTTGTTTATTTTAAAGGCAGAATTACAGAAAGAGGTCTTTATCAACTGATTCACTCCTTTCATGTCTGCAATGGCTAGAGATGGACCAGGCTTAAGCTAGGAATCAGGAGCTTCATCTGGGTCTCCCATGTGGCTGGCCAAGGCCCATGTACTTTAACCACATTCCTGTGTGCTTTTCCCAGGCTGTTGGCAGGGAGCAGCCAGGACTGTAAACACTACCCATATAGGATGTCTGTGTAGGAGGCAGTAGCTTAACTGGCTATGCCGCAACACTGGTCTCTTAGTTTTTATCAGTAGTCAAAATGTCAGCTTAATACAAAAGTACTTCAAAAAGTTTTTGGGAAATAGAGACAGATGTTAGGCATAGCTAAGAAGCTCCTTGAGGTAGCAGTTGGACTGCCTTGGTAAAGTCCCAGCTGGACACTCAGGTTCAGCCTTCTGCTGATGAATACCCTGTATGAGGCATCAGTGATGATTCAAATGGTTGAGTCCATGCCACCTGCACTAGAGTCCTGAGTGAAGTTCCTGGCTCCTGGTTCCAGCTGGCCTCTCCCTGGCTGTTCCAGGGGTGAAGGGAGTGAACCAGCGAAGGGAAGATACACGTCTCTACACTTCTGCATCTCTCTCTGTCCCTCCCCATCCCTCTTTAGCTCTCTCTCCCTCACTCCCCTTCTTCCTCCTCCTACTTCCTCTTCCTTCCCCCTGCTTTAAAAAGTAACTATTTGGTGGAAAATATGTGGATTTCAAAATTATGTACCATAAGCATTTAAATTCCATCTTTAAAAAAATGTAAGTACCTTCCTACATATTAGTTTGAAAAATATGTGTACTTGAATTTGTTGTAATTGACAGGCATTTGGGGGAGCCTTTTAGATCTTTGTAATAGAAACTGATCTCTATATAAAGAAGAAATTTTTTTCTGTCCAAAAGACTTACTGAATAGATTGTTTTTCTTCAGCTGTCATTATCTTTGTGGCTCATAATACTAGGAACATATTAGGTTTGTCAATAAATTATAAGACATCCTTTTTATATAACAAAACAGGAATATTTTAAATAGTGATGGATTCATTTGGTTTATATTGAGAATTAATTTTATAATTAAAGCAGCAGAAATGTTCCAGTTATCACCATTGAGTAAATCAAAACTATTTTATCCAATTTCTACTTTTAAAAGCTAATCCTATGTATCTGAGCATTGTGCATCCAAGAGTTTGCATCTGCAAATTCAACTACACACAGATGAAAAATAGGAAAAGGCTAATGTACATTGTTAATGTACATGTATGAGCCTTTTTCTTGCTATTATTCCTGAAATAATGCAATACTGTTAATCCATTGCTTGTATTGTGTTGCGTATTACAAATAACCGGAGAGTAAAGTGTATGGAAGAATGTCTGTAGGCTGTATGCAAATAGCACATTATTTTTTAGATAAGCTTGAGCTTGCAGACAGTGGTGTCCACAAAAGGGACCTGGAATCAGTTTGTGAAATAAACCGAATAAAGATGGTATTTGTTTTCAACATTGGCAGAGGATATTTGCAGTTCTTCATCTTAGTTCTTACCCTGCAAAACTAGTAATTTTAGTAATTCACCTGATTTTTTCAGTCTTTTTTTCCCTATTCACCTTGGGCACTGCTGTAAAGGTATGATAGTTCCCTTTTTTCCCCCCAAGTATTCTCACATGGAAAGTTTCATCCAATAGCTTACATTTAAGATGTTTCATAGCTGATAGCTTAACAGATCTCCTAAGAATTGTCTTAAAGAACTGAATTTAATTTATTGCTCCAATTGATGTTGCTTAAACATTCTTAAACATTTTCTCACCTATTGTCATTTTTAATTGATAGGCTGTTTTATTATCTAGCCCACTTATTAAGCAAGTAAAAGCCACTTTTGGGTAATGTTAAACAAATGAAGACTTGGTTTTTGCATTTGTATCTAACATTCCTGTAGATTATGTATATATTCTTGAAGAAAACCTTTTGAGTTTTGTGGTACCATAGTCACCTGTAAGAATCTGATAAAAGTATATATTCGTTCTGCCAGAAAAACAGCAGCTGCATCCCCTGTCCTCTACCTCCAGTGGCAGCCACGGTTAACTTCGCAGTGCGTTTCCTTGTGCCATCTGTGTGTGCGCACACAGATTCTCTTTAGCTTAAATTGATTTGTCCTCATGCTGTTTTAGAATTTTCTGCCTACTTGCCCATGAGATATTTTTTCTCTGCCATTCAGTCTCAAACTATCTTATTTATTTCCTTGCCTACAAGATATTAACTGTACTATGGATTATTCTTTTCCTTGTTGATGAAAAATCAGGTTCTTACCAAGTTTTTAATTTCATTGTTCGAAGTAGAGCTTCAGTAGACATGCTTTTCTGTGACGGTATGCAGGTAATTTCTAGAGAAGATTTTTTTTGAACATTTATTTTTTATTAGAAAGTCAGATATACAGAGAAAAGGAGAGAGAGAAAGATCTTCCATCCAGTTATTTACTCCCTAAATAGCCGCAACAGCAGAGCTGAGCCGATCTGAAGCCAGGAGCCAGGAGCTTCTTCTGGGTCTCCCACATGGGTACAGGGACCCAGGCTTTGGGCCGTCCTCAACTGCTTTCCCAAAAGGCCACAAGCAGGGGGCTTGATGGAAAGTGGAGAAGCTGGGACACAAACCAGTGCTCATATGGGATCCTGGTGCATGCAAGGCAACGATTTTAGCCACTTGACTGCCGTGCAGGGTTCTCTAGAGTAGATTTTTAAGTGGTTTTATTAGGTCATGGGATGTACTTATTTTACAACTTTTGATAGATGGCAGCCAAATTGCCTGGATATTTATTTATCCTCTCTAGTATGTAAATGCTCATGTTGCTGTGTCCCCTCTAGATTTGATATTCTGGATCATTTTAATAATTCCATTTAGAAAAGTTTGTTAGTGATACTGTTTCGTATACACAGAGAGAGAGAGGAGAGAGAGAAAGAGAGAGAGAGAGAGAGAGAGAGAGAAAATTCCCTTAAACAAGATTTTCAGATATGCCTTCCCCAAGTTTTAATGGAGCATGTCTATATTTTTTTTTTTTTAGCAATGGTCAGACATTTAAAATAACTCTCTAGTATCAGTGGTATGGATTGACAGCCTGCACATAGAAGGTACACAGAATGTGTTACTACCTGTAGAATTTTTTTTTTAAAGCTCAACCAATTTTGTTTCTTAAATAGGGAGATTTCACACAGACCCTGCTCTTGGGAAAACTGAAAGACTGACATGCTGAGCCCTAATTCCCATGTGTTTCTTGCTCTCTACCTGGGAATATTCTTTGCCTACTTGGCACTTGTAGTCTAAGTCATGACATTCCTGGCCCCGCTGACATTTGCATTTGTTAATTCCTTAGCCTAAGTAAAAGGATCCTTTATCATCATGATTGCTCCATACATTGAATTTGTTGTAAAATATATTAATTGAAGACAGGAAAGGAAAACATAATTAGACCACAATGGGATATAACTTTGAAACACCATGATTGTTCTGCTTTTCTGAATATTGTTTTGTTAGATACTATGACTTCGCTTATTCTAAATTCTATTGACCTGAATTATTTTGATTAATCTTTTGTGTTTTTATTAAATTTCTGTTTGATGTGTGGTATGTTTACATTCAACTTTTTCAAAGAAATAACTTAAGACTTAAATGGTATGATAATTTACCTGAACCCCTTTCATACTAGCTCACCATGCCTTCTCCTATGCCCGAGTACCTGAATGTACACTACATTGGAGAATCTGCCTCCAGACTGCTGTTCTTATCGATGCACTGGGCACTTTCAATTCCTTCTTTCCAGGCACTAGGGTGAGTGTTTCTAAGTCATTGAATATAATGTGAGTTTTGTAGCATAGATGTACATTTTGTACATTATGCAAGAACTTTACTTTTTAATTATTTGCATTAAAGAAGAACAATGATACTGTTTTCATGACTTTAAATTGTGTTAAATTATAACTCACAGCAGCCAACTGGTATTTTCTCTGTTTTCTATGTAGAAGAGTATCCATATTGCACAGTTTGATTAGCTTCCATTTTGAAAGAGTGTTGTAAGCAGAGTTAATGGTTCATGCTAGCATTTTGCAGTAGGCTGTCTTTTGATTAGTTAAGAGGTGGCATGGATGCCCTATGTTGTTTTCCTCCTACCACAACCATTGGAGCTTTCATTCATGTTACCATGAAGTATCTGTATCTCTATTCTGTCCTGAACACTGTATCTGTATTCTGTACTGAAGTAATGAGATGAAATGGAACATCATCTGCCTTAAGAAACCCAAACTTAAAATTTATAGATTTATTTATGTTGCTTTCAAATAATTGGTACCAAAAGATATTAGACAATGGAAAAATTTAAGCTTACAGTCAAAATGTTTGCTTTTTATTTGCTTGTTTGAAAAACAGAGAGGATCTTCCATTGGTTTACTCCCGACCTGCCCATAACAGTCAGGATTGAGGTGATTAAAGTCAGGAGCCAGGCATTCATTCCAAGTCTTCCACTTGGGTGGTAGGGATGCAGTGGCTTGAGCCATCACCTGCTGTTTCCAAAGGTATACACATTAGCAGGAAGCTGAAGTCAGGTGTTGAGCTGGGATTCAAACCCAGGCAGCAATAATAGGATGCCAGTGTTCTGCATGGTGTTTTTACTGCTGTGCCAACTGCCTGGGCCAGGAAATTTATATTCTTTTTCATAGAACTCTTTTCACTAGTAATAGTTTGTAAATGACTCATTGCCAAATAGAAGTAACTACCACCTCTTTTCTTAGTGAATACTCTGAATAAAGCTAAGAGACCAGCATCTGAATCATAACTATGAAAGATACACAGAGAACTGACTCAGTACTGTGATTTGGTTATAAATAAGTGCTAAGCTTGTAATTGATGTACTTATCCCAGGAAAGTAATCTAGTGATAATTTTCAAAACAGATACTCAGTTATAAGAAGGTCCTTTGGGGAATGGTTGTCTACAGAAGTTAAGTGAGCCAGAAAGCAGAGCAAATGGCTAGATCTGACTCTGCTTATACAACCGCCCACTTATAGGAACTACTTTCTAGGTTACATAGAATCTTCTATTAGACCCACCTTTACACACTGTAATTGGATTGTTACCATACTCTTAATACCAACAGCTCCTACCTTGAGGTTTAAAATCTAGTGTAAGTTCAGCAGCCACATCTTGATTGAACCCTAGCAGTGTTTTTGGACCAAGGTACATAAATGAAACTTAGCTGTCATTTGTATGGCATAGAAGCAAGGACGCTTGTTCCTGAGCTCTTTCACTGAGATCCTACATCCATTGATTCCTGCCCCAAGCGTGCACAATGGCCAGAGTTGCATCAGTCCGGAGCCAGGAGACTCTTCTGGATTTCCCACAACGGTGCAGGGTCCCAAGGCTTTGAACTGCCCTCCAATGCTTTCCCTGGTCACAAGCAGGGAGCTGGATAGAAAGCAGGGCTGCCGGGACTAGGACCAGTGCCCATATGGGATTCTGGCACGTTAAGGTGAGGACTTTAGCCGCTAGGCTACCACAACAGGCCCAGGAACCTTCTTTTTAAAGGGAACTTGGTGTTTTTCTTCTAATTTAATGAATTATGTTCAAAACATCTGAACAACTTATGAAGGCTTTTTATTTGGGATAAAAATGTAAAAGAGTTGTTTTTCTATAACTATCTTCTATATTTAGATCTTTCTCTTTTCCCTTGGAGAGGAAAAAAACCTGTAGTTTATTCCCCAGCTGCAACTTTTCTTTTTTTTTTTTAATACTAATTTTATTTCTCAACCTTTTTGCTGCTGTTTATAACATTTCTCTGAATTTCTCCAGCAACGTCAAGGTCCCATCTTACTACAAATTGTAACATTAGTCATCTCTGATCTTAACTAGTAGTCCCTGTGATTCAAGAATCAGAGGTAAAGGCGAAAACTGGATTGCATGTAACTTTTTTCCATTTTTTCTTTCCATTCTTCCTCATTTGTTGAAAGTTTGATGTCCTAGAGATTCGTTTTCCCACACTGTATTTATTGTCTATTAGGTATACACATTTACATATCCTATTCCTTACTTTGCTTTTTACACTTACTATGAAATGTCTTCTTAAGGCAACACATGTAAGCTTACCCGGTTTTCATAATGATTACCTGGTATTTCAGTATGTGGGGTTTTGTAAGTTTCCTTACTCGTCCCTATTTTAGCAGGTATCTGGACTGTTGCCAGTCTCCCTTGTTACTGTATTCAGTTTTAACACTGCCTTCTACCATTGTGTGCACAGTTGTGCCTACTTCTGGTGTATATCTGCAAAGTACGTTGTTACGCACAGTATTCGAACATAAATAATTATAGACATTATCAGAGTGTACTCTGAAGAATGTTGTACCAGTTTCTGACCACATGATCATCCTCAGTTCTGGGTTTTACCCTTATCTCTTGATGGATAAAAATAGTGTTGTGTTATCTTTTAATTTGTTTGATTTTTGTTTATCTGGGATTGAAATTTTAGTCATTTTCTATATGGAGATCTTTAAATTCTGATTTTTGTTGTGTTTAAACTTGACCTCTTTTTTAAAGATTTATTTTATTTTTATTGCAAAGTCAGTTATACAGAGAGGAGGAGAGACAGAGAGGAAGATCTTCCATCCAATAATTCACTCCCCAAGTGACCTCAACGGCTGGTGCTGTGCCGATCTGGAGCCAGGAGCCAGGAACTTCTTCCAGGTCTCCTACACAGGTACAGAGTCCCAAGGCTTTGGGCCGTCCTCGACTGCTTTCCCAGGCCACAAGCAGGGAGCTGGATGGGAAGTGGAGCTGCTGGGATTAGAACCGGTGCCCATATGGGATCCTGGCATGTTCAAGGCAAGGACTTTAGGCACTAGGCCACTGTGACAGGCCTGCTTTTTTTTTTTTTAGAAAACAAAATTTATTCCACCTTTTTAGTTTGAAATATAATATGCTATTGTTCTTAAATAAACTGGCAGATTGATTAAAAGAGTTATTTAATATTTAAATTTATGAGCATTCTTGCCAGTTCTCTTCATCTGTACAGAACATTAACTTCATAAAGTTCTTGCCCAGTTGATCTTTCTAGAGTGGTTTTAGTTGAATAATAATTTTACATATGTGGATCAATAATTTATTTTAATAATATGATTTTTTTTAATTTTTATTTTCAATAGGCAAGAAAACAGCATATCACTGGTGAAAGCTTATTGGAATGAACTCTTTACTCTTGGTCTTGCCCAGTGTTGGCAAGTAATGAATGTGGCAACTATATTAGCCACATTTGTCAATTGTCTTCACAGTAGCCTTCAACAAGGTAAAAGGCACCTTCCATATATTATCTTTGCCAAGAAATAGGAAGAGGCATCAGTTATGACATGCTAGGACCGCTTTCCGATCTACCAGACTGTTTTCTGATACTGGGTATAAAGAAAGGTTTTCTTCTGCCTTGCAGTTCTGGAGGCCCAGGGCGTGTCCTTGGCTTTGCCCAGCTCTGGGGGAGGGCTGGCCTTATGACAGCAAAGGGGAAAAGGACACTGACATGTGCAGAGGAAAGACCCAAGGAAGACAAACTCACTCTTCTAACAACCCAGAACTAATCTAGTCTGACAAAAAGGACGTTAGTCCCTCGTGCAGTGCTGCTCTCTGACAAATTTGAGCGTGAATTTTTACAGGCACAAACCACACCACATCTGAGCCTCGAAATAGGCTTTCTGACCAGGCCTTTGGGACAGGTTAGCGGATATAGAGATACTAAATATTTTTAAATGTGTGCCTGCAGCAGTTTTTAAACTACTTGAATCCTAAAATAGGCTCTTTTTTTTTTTTGATTTATTTTATTTTTATTGGAAAGGCAGATATACAGAGAGGAGAGACAGAGAGGAAGATCTTCCATCTGATGATTCACTCCCCAGGTGGTCGCAACGGCTGGAGCTGAGCCAATCTGAAGCCAGGAGACTCTTCCAGGTCTCCCGCGTGGATGCAGGGTCCCAAAGCTTTGGGCCGTCCTCTACTGCTTTCCCCGGGCCACAAGCAGGGAGCTGGATGGGAAGCAGGGCAGCCGGGATTAGAACCGACACCCAAATGGGATCCCGGGCGTGCAAGGCGAGGACCTTAACCACTGCGCCATCACGCCGGGCCCAAAATAGGCTCTTTTAATGTTAGTTCATCAGGAAGTATTCGGGAACAAGCCTTATTCTCTTTGTCCTTTCTTAGATGCCAGAGTGTCACTGAAGGAGACAGGCAATCACTGATTTTTAAACACTTCAGGATGGCTTGTGACTGATTGGAAGAGTACTTCCTTTCAGTTCAGGAATAATATACAAATTAGGGGCTACTATTTAAGTAGCTCCTTAGCTTCTTCTGTTTCTCACTGTGTTGCATTAGTTTTTACTGGCAACTTCCTTGTAGTTTAGAGCAAAAGAATCATCTTAAATTTTCATCAAGAATATATTTGTGAAGGCAGTAAAATCCCATCGTATTTGAAGGCTCATAGTCTTGGTTCATTTCATATACACTCACAAAAAAAGTATTCTATCTACAGAAAAGTTATGTATTGTATGAAAGATATGTCTTGTATACATATCCCGTCACAGTAACTTTGAATACACCTGTGAACTTGTCATGTTGCTCAAGGTTTTTTTGGTTCTTGGCAAGTTTTCATTTGAGTTTTTTTTTTTTTTTTGGAGGGGGGTCATTGTTGGTTTTGGCAGGTAACCTTTTAAAATGTAAATTATTTGCTCAGGGGTTTTTTTTCCAGCCAATTAAGTGTAAATAAAATTATATTACCAAAATTTACATCTTTTGTTATTTGTTAGGCTAGTTTTTCAGGTAGCATGCTTACTTCTCAAAGTTGATATTGTAAAGAGATATTACGTTAAGACTTTTCTATGGCAATTATTTTTCTTAAATGAATAGTATTTGATCTATAGTTGGAGAGATTCTGAATTTTAAACATTTATACATTGAGTTGTATTAAAGTTGGAGATTAACGAGGAGCATCTATTGGATGAAACTAGTCATATATCAAATGGGAATTAGAAACATTTCTTTTATTATTATTCAAGATAAAATGTCAACAGAAAGGAGAAAATTGTTGATGGAACATATCTTCAAGCTACAGGAGTTCTGTAACAGCATGGTTAAACTCTGCATTGATGGATATGAATATGCCTACCTAAAGGCAATCGTACTCTTCAGTCCAGGTAGAAAACACTTACTTCTTTCTTCAAATACACTGTGTGGGCATGGAGAAATTGAAGGCTCCTACAGGCTCATGGAGTGGAGAGAGATACAACTGCCTTGGAAGACAATGTTCTTCAGAATGTTAGAGTTAGACGTGCCATATGACTTCAGGAGAAATGAATATGGGTGTCTATACAAAAATGTACATATGAATGTTCATAACATTATTCATAATCGCTAAAAATGTAAATAACTAAAGTGCCCATCAACAGATGAATGGGTATAGAAAATCAGTATAAACACAAAAATTCATCTGAAAAAGGATTGACATTTTGCTGCTGCTATAACATAGATTAGTGAAAGAAGCCAGTCACAAAGGAACACATATTATTTGATTACACTTATGTGGAATATGCTGATTAGGCAAACCTGTAGACACAGAAGTAAATTAGGAGTGACTCAGAGCTAAGGATGTAAAAGAATAGGGAGTAGCTGTTAACCAGCATGGAGATTTCTGCTGGAGTAACCAAAATATCCCAAAGTTAGGTTGTGCTGATGTTTACACAGCTCTGTGAATATAGCAACAGATGTTAAATTATGTAACTTACACTGGCAAATCTGTTTTTAAAAGATTTATTTATTTATGTATTTTGGAAAGACAGATATACAGAGAGGAGGAAAGACAGGAAGATCTTCCACCCAATGATTCACTCCCCAAGCGGCAGCAATGGCTGGAGCTGAGCCAGTCCAAAGCCAGGAGCCAGGAACTTCTTCCAGGTCTCCCATGTGGGTGCAGGGTCCCAAGGCTTTGGGCTGTCCTCTACTGCTTTCCCAGGCCACACGCAGGGAGCTGGATGGCAAATGGAGCTGCTGGGATTAGAACCGGTGCCCATATGGGATCCTGGCGTGTTCAAGGGTAGGACTTTAACCACTACTCTATCGCACTGGGCCGTAAACTGGCGAATCTTAAGTTCAGAAACCAATGAGATGAATATTAATAAACCTTCAGTTGTCACATCAGAATTTGAATTTTTGAGCACATTTTCTTAGGCATCTTTTAATGACAGAATGAGAAATGAAAATTTCTCTGTTCAAAGAATTAAAATAACTGTTAGCAGAAATATAGGTATTTTATTTTCCTACCAGTTTTTAGTGTTCACAAATGGTAAAATGACAATAAGCTCTCAATGATCAATTTCTGAGTAGGAGAAATTGGGACTTCTGCTGAGTCCTGTATTATTCATTCCATCCATGCTGTTTTGCTTCCCAAATGACCACTATAGTCAAGACCAGACCGAACTGAAAACCAGTTTCTCACCTTAAGTTTCCTTAGTTAAAAATATACTTAAGAATATTCTTAAGTCAGAATTATAATATAGCATTATTAAGTTTTTCCAATAATTTGTTACTTTTTGTTCACCAGTACATAACTTTTTCATATCTTTGAACCCAGCTTTTTTGAAGTTACTTTAATATTTCTATTTTGGGGAAATGTGCAGTAACCATTCCCATGCTTTTCGTTACATTGCTGTTAAAACTTCAGTTTTTGACATTATGTTCATGGTTTTGTAATTTCCTAAGTACCTTTAATCCAAGAGTAGTGGAATTTTCCCTTATAAAAATATTGTAGAGTATCATCTGTAAAGACTTCATGTACTAAAGACACCTTAGTGTGGGCATTTAGCATTTAAGCCTGAGTCCAGTGCTCACTGTTGCTTCCGACTCCTGCTTCTTGCTAAGACAGACTCTTGGAGGCCACAGTAATGACTGACATGGTAAGAGACCTGGGCTTCATTCCTGGCTCCCAGCTTTGGCCCCAGCCAGCTCTGACTGTTACAGAATTTCAGGGAGTGAGCAAGCAGATAAGCTGGCTGCTCCTCTCTATCTCTAGCTCTCAAATAAATAAATAAATATCACATGACTTTTCTAAGCTGATTCATTTTAGCTGCTTGTTCCCATTAAAAATAAAGTGATGAAAATCCTCTCCACCGCTTTTGAAACAGTGGTAACAATCATAGGTCTTACTTCCTATTAGGTGTTAGAATATATTATGGATAAGAGAATTTCAGGTATGTGGGTACAGTGCTTGTTACGGTACATGGGCCAACAGATATTTGTGAAGGAGCTACCTATGATATAATGGGCTTCTTTAAATAATTAAGTGTTGTTTCCATCCCCTCTTTGTGTCTTCTTAAATGCAATTACAGAAATCAGATCATAATGTGTTCTTTAATGTTTCAGATCATCCAGGCCTAGAAAATATGGAGCAAATTGAAAAATTTCAGGAAAAGGCTTATGTGGAATTCCAAGATTATATCACCAAAACATATCCAGATGACACCTACAGGTATCTTCTTCGACTGTGTTAGTCTTCTTACTGTCTCTTTCTTTCTCTCTTGCTCTCTCTTTCTCTCTATTTCTCTCTTCCTTCCTTCCTTTTTTCCATTCTTTTTTCTTTTTTTTTTTTTACTTTGTTTTTTTAGGTTTTTTTTCTTAAAGGCAGAGAGACAAAGACCTTCCCATCTGTGGTTCATTCCCCAAAGGCTGCAATGCCCAGAACTGAGCTGGTCCAAAGCCATGAGCTTCTTGCAGGTCTCCCACATGGTCACAGGGTCCCAAGGCTTTAGACCCTGGTCTGCTGCTTTCCCAGGCCAAAAGCAGGAAGCTGGATCAGAAGTGGAGCAACCAAGACACAAACCAGTGCCAACATGGATGCTTGAGCTTGCAGGCAGAGGATTGGCCAGTTCAACTATCTTGCCAGCCCAAGTGTGTTACTCTAATGTAACTAAGTGTTTAGTCAGAATCAATCCTTAGAAATGGTAGTTTCTGTAAGCATTTTACATGCACTATTTCATGCAGTTCTCACATTTTGTGAAAAAAGAAATTTCAGCACAGAGAGGTTAAGTAACTTGTTCAAGGTGACACTGTATTATGGAGCCTAGTACACTCAGACTAACCCCAAACTTTTGCCTCAGATGAAAAATAATAAATTTTAGTGGTAAAGTGAAAAGAAGTATCATTAGATATTATCATTAATTTTGAAGTGTATCTATGATATCCCATGGTTTTTTTTTATTTTTCCAGTGAACTTTGGAGAAAAAAAATTCCTTTTTATCAGAACCACTCAGTTTTTGAAAAAGTAATGTGTAGGGTAGATCAGCAATAGCTATCAGAAACTGAGTACCTAGGTTTGAATCCTGAATTTATTACTTCGTAGCTGCGTGGCCTTCAGTGAGATGCTTTAATTCTTTTTTTTTTTCAGTATCCTTGCCCATAAATGGATATAATGACAGACTGTACATTTTACAGTTAAAGTAACCCCGTTTCTCAAGTTTTACCAACCTTTGTTCCAGAAATATTGAAGAGAATATTCCAAAACTATACAAGACTTGAGTTTTAAATTGCCTGCTATTCTGATTTGCTTATGAAATCTTCCCGCCCACCTTAGCCCCATCCTGCCTCAGTAGTGGATGATGCCATCATGCAGGTGGTATTCATCCCACGCATGGTGTCTACCTCAGTCCCTAGGAACAGTCTATCATGTAACAGTGTCTTCAAAGGTTATAGTCAAGTAACCCCAAGTTGCAAGGCAAGAGATACTGCAGCCACAGGTCTTAGATCTTACCCAAGCAGAGAACAAGGGACTACTGTATTACTAGAAAAACATAAGTATATGGAAAGTGTATAGAACCATGTTTGATAGAGCTATATTAGAGTGCTTTTAGTATATATAAAATCAGTAAAAGAATGTTTTACATAATAATTTTTATGTTTTAAATAATGTGGATTTACATGCCAGTTCCATGAAAAAAAAATCAACCTTAGTTTATCTAAGTAGTTTTCCTATCAGTTCTGTAGATGTAACTCAGCTAATAAGAACAAACAGGAACTAAGGGATTTGAGGAGCAGAGTGCCCAACAATGCCTTGAGGTGGGGCAGAAGGGGAGGAAGTGCACGCCATGAACACTTTTGGAAGTTGGTTTTACAGTTCATCTTGCAGTCTTTAGTTACAATATTTGCTTTATGTCATACAAATCAATATTTCAGCTTTTCTTCCTTTTTGACATAGAGCTGTCCCATTAGTTTTCTGGCGCTTTGACACTGAACTTTTTCAATTCCTGGATGGCAGTTTTCAACTTAAAATGCACTCACACAGGACATAATCTTCTTGTGAGAAGTACAGAGAGTACTTGGCCTGCACACATGGACTTAATCAGGGGCAGCTGGATAAACATCTGAACCCAGTGGTCTTGGGTCATATTTCTGTGTTCTGTGCTCTTCCTTGTAATAACTTGCCTATTGTACCATTTCCAGTCTTTATTTATTTTTATTTTTTTATTTTTTTATTTTGCAGAGCGAAAGCAAATACTGTGTTCTGATAAACCAAAACATTGTGTTCTTACCATCTAAAATGAGTTGTTAAGCCATTCTTAAATGTATAATCAGTTCAAGGTTTAATAACTTGGTTGCATGGTCCTTACTTTTGGGTGAATGACACAGCGATCAAGCACCTGATTGGCACACCCACACCTTTTACTGAAGCTCCTGGACTGGAGTCATGGCTCTGTTAATTCTACTTCCTGCTTATGTACAGAGAGGCAGCAAACGATGGCATGCATAAGTCATCGGAGTCCTTGTCACCTGAATGGAGGAGTTGGCTTGAGTTGTGTATTTCTAGAGTTAGCCTGGCCTAGTCCCAGCAGTTGTAGGAATGGAGAATAAAGTGGGCATGGAAATTTGATTGAATGATTGGAGAGTATGTGTGTGTGTGTTTCCTGTGAGTGCTCAAATCAGTTTTTTTAACTGGGGGATAGGTGTTTGGGTCAGTAGTTAAGATGCCACTTGGATGCCTATCTATTGTCCCATATCTAAGTGCCTGGGTCTGAGTCCAAGCTCTGCTTTACACATCTGAGAAGTCCCAGTTCAGATCCTGAGTCCTGGTATAGGACCTAGATTGAGTTCCAGATCCCTGGTTTTGTTCTTTATCGGCATTTGAGTGAACCAGTAGATAGAAGATCTCTCTCTTTCTTTCTTTCCCAATAAAATGAAAATGAATAAAGGTTTTTTTTTAATCAGTTAATAAATTTCTAAAGATTTATTCATTTGGCAAGCAGACAGAAGTGTTTGATTTGTTGGTTCACTGTCCAGATGGCAACAGCCAGAGCTGGGTCCAGCCCAAGTCTGGAACTCCATCCACATTTCCCACCTGTGTGACAGAAGCCCAGATACATAAGTAGTATTGCTACCTGAATCGGCAAGTAGTGGATCAGAAGCTGAGTAGCCAGGGCTTTAGCCAGCATTCCATTATCAGGTACATGGGTCACAGTCAGTGGTTTAGCCAACTGCTGCACAACACTGGCTCCAATAAATAAAATGTTTAACAGTTTCTTTCTTTATTAAGTTTGGGCACAGATAATATAAATCAGAAATTATTTAATATTTTCTACTAAATTTCCTGGATTTACAACTTTGTTCCTCTATTATCTTTTTTCTTACTAGGTTATCCAGACTACTACTCAGATTGCCAGCTTTGAGACTGATGAATGCTACAATTACTGAAGAATTGTTTTTCAAAGGACTCATTGGCAATGTACGAATTGATAGTGTCATCCCACATATTTTAAAAATGGAGCCTGCAGATTATAACTCTCAAATAATTGGTCATAGCATTTGAAAGCAGAGAGCCAAGTGCTATAAACTGACTGTTCTTTCCTGAACACAAGATACCAAATCGAACTTACTGTTTCCAGAGTATCTGGAAATTTTGACTTTAAAAGAGTAACCAAAATTCAAGGAATTTTTATTTAACTTCCTTGAAGAATTTTTGAAGTGACTGGGCATCCTTTTGTGTCTTAATAAGTGAGTAAGAAATGCTCTGAATTTATTGGTGGAGATGACATGTGAAGCTGTCACCTCTTCTTTAAACTAGGACTCTCATCTATTTTAAAAAACAAATAAATCAGTCGTTTTTCCCCTTGAATTGTGTTCCATTCCTATTTAAATTCATTATGAACTAGTACACTTTAATAGTCCAGAATCCCTGAGAAGTTACTTGGATTTTACTCTTCTGTAATATGTTTTCATTGCCATATCAAAAGATTATTTTATTGCTCAATGGTATAATATTGTAAGTATACAAAATAATTACGTATATATTTTTTGTCTTTTGTAAACCTCACACTGTCCTTTAGTATATTCCACTCTCATTGCTGGCAATGAGACATGGGTAATTTGTGATTTTAAGATTTCCTAGTGTTGTACATGATTAGTTATGAGCACTTTTTATTTACAGGGCAGAAAATTATTTTGAAAATGAAAGTTCATATTTTAGTGTTTTTTTATTTGCTGCTGTATTTTATCTAAAAACTAGTAGTAGAGATTAAATACAAACTGCTTAGTATTGCAATATAGGTATTAAAAATGTTATTCTTCCATCCCCCAAAAAGGACATGACCTCTCCCTCTTTTCTGATTTGTGTTGATGCTTTCTGACCCTACCCTGGGTTTTAGCCAGTTTTTCTAGGTTATGTTTAAAAGGTCACCCAATTTACTAAATAATGGATTTTTCACAGCCAATTTTTTTCAAAAACATATATTTGACAGTTGTTTTAAAGCACTTGGTAATTAAAAATCAGGGACTGTGTGCTGACTTTCTGCTTAAAGCAAGGGGGGAAGATAGCCTTAATAATTGTATAACTGTATGAGAGTCAGCTTTAATCTTTGTTACTGTTACAATGAAGTCATTTTAAATTCCTTGGGTGTGTGTCTTCCACTGTGATGTTTTCCTTAGCAAATCTGATCCTGTTAAATCTTTTTGGCTCTGATTTCAGGATGAATTATTTTGGTGTGTCTGTTGACTTTTAAAACACAGATATGGAGTTCTTACAGTAAATTTTCTACAGAAAATTTTTACAATAGTAGAGAAGCTCAGATTTTTTTTTGTTAGGATGTAGATTTTACAAATTTCTACTTTATAATAGTCCAGAAGGCTAAAAGTCTATGTTCTTTATCTTGTTATTAAGGGAAACCTTAATGATTTTGGTTAACAGCTTTAATCGTAATAATCAGCTAGGAAAAACTACAGTTAGTGTAAAATGGTTAAATTAGAAAAATAAGAGGTTTATACCATTATAAAACTATGTAGCAAGACAAGAATTGAAAAAAATAATCTTTAAAATAATGTACAATGGTTCATTGAGATATTTCAGGTATTTTTCCTGGTTAAACTTACAGCTATATTTGGAAGTGTTTTTAAAAGTATATTAAAATGGAGCTTGCATTATCAGTCTTGTATTCTGCCAGTATATTTTGATGTCAGTGTCCTGTGTGTTAAACGTTTGGTTACACTTTGTTCCATTATGTTTTCATTATAAAGTATTATTTTTAAAAGCTCAATCCTAACAGGGGCAGGCATGTGACCTTACAGTCGCAGCTCCCTCATCCCATGTCAGAGTGCCTGGGTTTAATATCTGCTCCTGATCCAGTGTCCGGTTACCAGCCCCCGAGAGGCAGAGGCCTGGGAGACAGAGGCAAGGGACAGTCCAGTTCTTGGCTTCAGCCCCAGCCAGGGGCTGCTGCCAGGAGCCGAGGAGTGAGCCAGTGGATGGGAGCACTCCTTTGCTCCTTTTCTGCCTCTCTAATAAGCAACAGCAACAAAAACTTAAGGATATTTTATAGAATTATTACCAATGTTGTAAGTTGATCTGGTTCTTAGTTGGGGTGATTTAATTGAAGTACTATGAAGAGGGGGCAAACCTGGAAAATGATTACATACATACATATTTTTTTTGATTGCTTTACAATTCAGTTTGAAGACTTTCAGCTAAATATCCACATTGAACATTTTTTTTAATTTCCTAAAATCTTAATGACAATAGAATATAACCACACAATAGTACATTTAAAAATTAAAGGATATAAATAAATTTTTAGAAAGCAAAATGCAGGTAGAGGAAGACTGAGTGAGTGATACACATGAGAGACCTGGCTCAGCTCTGGCCATTGCGGCAATTTGGGGAGTGAACCAGCAGATAGAAGACCTTTATCTCTGTTTCTGTGAGATCTGCCTTTCTTTTAAAACTCAATAAATAATAAAAGACTGAGGGTATCACTAGTCTGTGTGGCTGCGGAAGGCACCGCTTGAGAAATGAGGACACTCTGGTTGACAAGTTGCCGGTATATGAAAATGCCGCCATGCGCAGGTGGTAATTGTGTCACGGAAAGGAAAGGATTGCTCACAGGTCTTTCATAAAGAACCTTGGCACTGTCTCTACTCCTGCCTAAGTTAGGTGGCCCCTTTCCATTCTCTCGTTTTTTGCAAGAAAAGGTCAGAGATTAATTTTCTTGGGGAGCTGAATTGGAAGGTCACGAAATGTCTAGGATACCAGGAGTAAATGAAGGCCAGTAACACACAGAAGGTTGAAAATCTGCATTCTGAATGTGGGCCTCTTACCTTCATACCCACATTGCTGGCAGTCAGGTGCAGGGATCGGCCTGGATTCCTTTTGCTAGAGAAGCACACTGGCTACTGAGAAATCTCCAGACACTCGGATAAAAAGCCTGCTGGCTTCACCTGGTCCCTCTCCATAAACTATTTCTCTGCCTCTCAAGTAAAATGGAAAAAAAAATATATATATATATATCTTTCAGTTCTTAAAGAGCCCATCAGTCGAGTACACTTGTATTCCATTGAGGTCTTGGATGCCCTGATACTAAATATACCATCGGATCCCAAGATTATCAGATAATTGGAAACATCTCTCAAGTCCAAGAGATCAGACATGGGGGTAAGAAAGACAGCCATTCTCAGATACAAGTAAGAAATGAGAAGATGCTTAGGAGGATTGAGAAAGGGGGGGAAGGAATGAACTAAAGAATTGGCCCTGGAAGTTAAAATGATAGCCAAAGCAACTGATTAGAAGATAAAGCTAAAGAAAACTTGAGGAAAGTACATTATTCAAAAATTTTCCACAAAACCACATTCAGGGCCTGGAGTGGTAGCCTAGTAGCTAAGGTATTCACCTTGCATGCACTGGGATCCCATATGGGCACTGGTTTGTATCCTGCCTGCTCCATTTCCTTTGCAGCTCTGCTTGTGGCCCGGGAAAGCAGTTGAGGATGGCCAAAAGCCTGGGGACCCTGCGGCCACATGGGAGATCTAGAAGCTCCTGGCACCTGGCTTAGGATCGGCTCAGTTTCAGCCACTGTGGCCACGTGGAGTGAACCAAAGGATGGAAGGTCGTTCTGTTTTGCATTCTCTTTGTGTACCTGCCTTTCAATATAATAAATAAATAAATATTTTTAAAATATATGTTATGACCCGGCAGAGTATCCTAGTAGCTTAAGTCCTTGACTTGAACACGCCAGGATCCCATCAGGGCACTGCTTCATGTCCCAGTAGCCCTGCTGTCCATCCACCTCCCTGCCTGTGGCCTGGGTAAGCAGCAGAGGACGGCCCAAAGCCTTAGGACCCTGCACCCGTGTGGGGAGGCTCCTGGCTTCAGATCAGCTCAGCTCCAGCCATTGCAGCCGCTTGGGGAGTGAATCAACGAATGGAAGATACTGCTCTCTGTCTCTCCTCCTCTCTGTATATCTGACTTTCCAATAAAAATAATTTTTAAAAATTCATTAGAATCTATAACTGCACAAAATGATCTGCATTGAAATGGGTGTTTGGTGCAGGATACTTAGGTTCGAGCTCTGGTTCCTGACTTCGACTTCCTGCTAGTGCAGACCCTGTAGGGCAGTAGGTGTCAGTTTCTGCCAAACAAGGAAGACTTGGAGTGAGTTTTGGGCCCCAGCAAGGACCACTGATGGAGTGAACCAGCAGATGGGAACTCTAGTAGATAAGCTTCAGAACCTGTCAGGACAATGTAGTCAGAGAAGGAGGATTGTTGCTATGGTCAAATAGCTATTCGGGCTTTTATACATTGCTAGTCTCACCAAAACTTGGGAATGAGTTCTCAAGGTTAAGGCCGTTGAAGACCCTGAATGACCTTTGTTCCTGGCAAAAGCAAAATACCCATTACTCAAATCAGAAGTTGACACACACCTTTCTGTGAAGGTTCAGAAAGCAAATATTTTGGGCTTTGTAGGCTATGCAGTGTCCACTGCAACCACCAGAGCAAAAGCAGCTATAGCTTATCTAAATGCAAAGGTACGGCCCTGATCCAGTGAAGCATTTACAAGAACACCCTGTAGCTTAGACTCTCAGTACCCTCACAGACCAAGTTTATGAAAATAAACCTCAAAAAGAATAAAAAAGCAACTTGGGTAAGAAATAAGCAATGTGTTCAAGATAATATCAAATAATGAAATTGTAATAAGCAGAAATAACTTGTTTTAAGGAAGAAAATACAGAATCCAGAAATAAGCAAGAGATAGATATGTTAAAAACATTAAGAAAAAGACACTAATGAAACTTTAAGACACAACTAAGGGTGCCAGTGTGGAGGCACTGCAAGCTAATCCTCCACCCTGTGGGTACCAGGGTCCAACGTGAGCTCCTGTTCATAGCCCAGCAGCCCCACTTCCCATCCAGCTCCCTGCTTGTGGCCTGGGAAAGCAGCAAAGGATGGCCCAGGTCCTTGGGACCCTGCACCCATGTGACAGACCTCAAAGAAGCTTCTGGCTCTTCCAACAGATGGAAGATCTTTGTGTCATCTTCTATTTCTGTAAAATCTTCATTTCAAATAAAATAAATAACTTTAAAAATAGCTTTTTAATTCATCTCAGAAAAAAAGAAAAATATATATGTTAACTACAGAAGTTTTGAAGGGGCCCAGTGCAGTAGCCTTGCCCTTGCATGTGCCAGGATCCCATATAGGTGCCGGTTCTAATCCCAACAGCCCCGCTTCCCATCCAGCTCCCTGCTTGTGGCCTGCGAAAGCAGTAGAGGACGGCCCAAAGCCTTGGGACCCTGCACCCGCGTGGGAGACCTGGAAGAAGCTCCTGGCTTCTGCCTTCGGATCAGCACAGCACCGGCATTGCACTCTTGGGGGAGTGAATCATTGGACGGAAGATCTTCCGCTCTGCCTCTCCTACTCCGTATATCTTTCCAATAAAAATAAATTAAAAAAAATTTTTTTAAGTTTTGTAAAAACAAAAGTGAGTTTAATATCCCAGCAAAGCTTGAGGTTTACTTCTCAGGCTGCCGGTAGTGCAGAAAGCTGAGACGAATCTGATTTGGGCACATTTTCTGAAAGCCTGTTTAGTAGGTAGATAGACATCAAGCTGAGTGATAAAATCCTGAAGTCAGGTAATAGCAAGTGTAGAGTTGTGTGAAACAGGAAGATAGTGTCTTTGTTAATCTCTGGAAATTGTGCATCACATGGTAAAGTTGAACCTAAACGTATGTACTTGTGCACGAGGAACTTTTACATATGTGTACCAGAAGACACAAAATTGTTCATGTCAACATTGTTAAGAACAAAACAGCAATGAATACCCAATTGTATATTTGGATGAAAGTGTTACTGAGAGTTGAGCCCACAATTTGGGATACCATATTCCAAATGGGAGTGTCTGGTTCGAGTTCCAGCAACTGCTTCCAATCCAGTTTCCTGCTCATGGGCCTGTGAGGTTGGAGCTTATGGCTCAAGTACTTTGGGACTCACTGTGTGCCTGGGTGGGAGATCCAGAAGAAGCTCCTGACTCCTGGCTTCGATTCAGTTCAGCTCAGGCCACTTGGCCACTTGAGAAGTGAACCAGGTATTTATCTCTCTCTGGTTCTCCTTCTCAGTGCAAATCTGCCTTTCCAATAAGAGTAAATAAATCACTTTTTAAAATTTACTCTTATTGGAAAGTCAGATTCTACAGAGAGAAGGAGAGACAGAAAGATCTCCCATGAACTGTTGAACTATCAAAACTGCATGAGCAAGACCCTTGGAGCATGCCTCACATGGGGGACCTGGGATGGTGGGGAGCTGGGTGGGGCTTCTCCCTTTGTTTCTCTCCTTACCCCAGATACAGAAAATATATATATGTGTGTGTGTGTGTGTGTGTGTGTGTGTGTAAACAATGGTCTTACCCACTTTCCTGTAACCCTTGACCCTTTGTGCCCTAATCAACTATGTAAGATTATCAAAATTTTTAAATAGGGGGAAAAAAACAGATCTCCCATCTGCTGGTTCACTCCCCAAGTGGCTGCAATGGCCAGAATAAATCTAAAAAAAAAAAAAAATACAATCATGAAACAGAATAGTTGCTCAAATGCAAACAAAGGTGCTTTGCTGGGAGGGTTGGGGCGGGTGACATCTCAGCATTCGCGAAGACATGTTTTCCTCATGTGATTTGCTGAGAGCTGTGGAAGGTACTGAATCGGAAGCAAATCAGGCTCACACCAACCTTATGTTTGCTGTTCTTCCTCACTCTCCTATCAACACACTGCTTTCACAAGGATACGTCCCCCAAACGGATGGAAAATAGAATTTAAAGGTTAGTTTGCTCTGGTGCAAAAAGTTCTTAAAATCCCTGCATAATCCCATTCTCCACCAATTTTGTACTCAATACCGCGTTTACTCAAGTTCAGCGCACCATGTCCACATGTGGTCACTATCCAACTTCTTAGTAGGTACCTTGTTTCTAAAGATTCCTAGCGCACGGGAAAGAACCTTCGGAACAGTTTGAGCCAATCCCCTTCAGCCGCGGAAGTCCTGCCTGGGGATGCGTGGTCCAGGTGGGTTCCACCTCGGGCTGGCTTTGCAGGAAGCTCTCGGAGCTGCGGCTTCGGAGGGAACCCCACAGCGCCACCTTCCGGGCTCCGAGGGCCACCGCAGGACTGCCAGCTCTGCGCACGCGCACAGCCTCCTCCACGCCCGGCGTGCGGAGGAACCTTATCTGCGGCGGAGTCGCCGCTTCCGCACGGTGAGGTTTGCTCGGGGCACACAGTCGGCGAGGCCGGCCAGACAAGATGGAGTTGGTGCAGGTCCTGAAGCGCGGGCTGCAGCAGGTCGGCGGCCACGGTGGCCTCCGCGGCTACCTCCGAGTCTTGTTCAGGTGGGCGGCGGGAGCCAGGCCCGTGGTCTCTGGGGCTGGACTTGCTCTGACTGGTTTCTTGGAAAGGGTCCCATTCTCGCGTCTCCTCGGAGAAGCGACAGTTCTTGTCAAGGACACATGACCCCAAGTGCCTGTTCTGGACTTCCCTGAGGAGACTCGCTGGACTTCCCTGAGGTGGCCGAAGCCACCCCTCGAGGCAGCTGTGACCCCCGGGGGAGCGGGGAGGTTCTTGGCTGCGCCCTGCTCCAGTGGCTGGCGTTACTGGTCGGTGGGTGACCTTGGGAAAGCTCCCTTTTAAAACCTTGAAAGAAGTGACCCCACTGTCCCCTACCGCTGCTGACAGCCGCGGCCTCCACGCAAACCGGATTGTTGTCCCAGCTTGGACCTGGAGGGCCAGCCCCAGTCGCATCGTATTAAGAAGATGTACTGACATTTGCTCCCTCCAGCGTCTCGTGGGGGCTAACACTGGGAGATCCTGTTTTTACATTACTGTAGGCACATCCTTGGCTGCGGTCGGCCTTTTCCTGGGCCATCTGGGTGATGCCAGGACAGCCTGCTGAAAGCTAGAGATTGTGGCAGCCAAGACGCGCCCAGCATCTCATTCTTCCAGTTGACGGTGCAGCCTTAGTGTCTGAATGTTGTATTTTCATTTTCCTGTGTGTTTTGAACAGAGACTCCTTCTAAAACACCTCCTTTCTTTTGGGCATCCGCAGGGCCAATGACGTGAGAGTTGGTACCTTAGTGGGGGAAGACAAATACGGAAACAAGTACTACGAGGACAACAAGCAGTTTTTTGGTGAGTGCCGTACTTTTTGGCTGATGGATTGGGGGTTCGATTGAGGTGTGTTTTCTGTAATATTCGTTTTTGCGAAGCACTTGGACAAGAATGAAAAACAATAGAAAATGGACATGGAAATTCACAGAACAAGCCAGTTAAATGCCAGCAAAGGTGTGAAAAGGTGCTCATCCACACCTGTAATTACAAGGATACAATCTGAGAAAACACTGCTGTCTCTTTTTCACTTGGCAAGTTTCCAACCATTTCCCAATGTGAAGAAAGGCCTATGAATGGATAGCTTAATGCAGCCCCTTGTCAATGTGCCTGCAAAAGCAGCAAAAAGATGACTCAAGTGCTTGGTCTCTAGAGTCTGATGTGGGAGGCCCAGGTGGAGGGGGCCAACACCAGCTAGTACAGGCATTTTGGGAGTAAAACATCCCTGTACCACTGTGTGTGTGTCTCTCCTTCTTTCTCTCTGCCACTCCGCCACTTTACAGAAGCAAGCAAAGATGTTACAGGGTCGAGCGTTTGGCCTGGCAGTTAAGGTGTCCCTTAGATACTCAGGTTCGCCGTCAGCATCCCTGGCTGTGATCACTCCAGCTCCTTGTTCCAGGCACCTGCCAATGCAGACCTGGGAGACATCGGTGGTGAAGACTGCAATGATTGGGTCCTTGCCACCCACACGGGAGACTAGATTGAGTTTCTGGCTTCTGGCTTCTGGATTTGGCCTGGCTCAGTGCTATGGGCCATGGGGGAACAAACCAGGAAATAGGAGTTCTCTTTCAGTCTCTCAAAGAGAAGAAAAGTTTAAACTAAAACTAGTACCATCATGAAATTGCTTGTGATTCCTTCCATGTGTGTAAGCGCTCTAACAGTACATTCCTAGAAATGAAATTGCTGAGTCTGAATATGAGCATTTAAAATTTTGAAGAATTGGGCCCAGCATGGTAGCCTTGCAGTTAAAGTCTCGCTTTGCACGTTCTGGGATCTGAATGGGTTCCAGTTCTGATCCTGGCAGCTCCGCTTCCCATCTAGCTCCCTGCTTGTGGCCTGGGAAAGCAGTCGAGGACGGCCCAAACCCTTGGGACCCTGCACCCACATGGGAGACCCAGAAGAAGCTCTGGGTACTTGACTTGGGATTGGCACAGCTCCAGCTGTTGCGGTCACTTGGGGAGTGAATTATTGGATGGAAGACCTTTCTGTCTCTGCTCCTCTCTGTATATCTGACTTTGCAATAAAAGTAAAATAAATCTTTAAAGAAATTTTTTTTTGAAGAAATGAAAATACTGAGTTTGTTAAAACTGACTGTTGTCACAGCTTAATTTATGAAACCTTCTGCCTTCACGTTCTCCTGCCCCGCAGAATTCTAGTTTACATTTAGTTGTCTGCTCTCAAGATTGATTTATTTGCAAGAAACAAATCCCAATAAAAATATGTATTCCTTTTAACAGTTATGGTCATGCTTAAATAATGTTAATTATCTGTTGATTATACGTTTACATAGGAAAACTCTTAGCTAAATACAGATTACCTTTTGCCTGTGTATTTAAAAATCCACTGTAGGAATGGATTCATTATGTTTTGTGAGCGGAGACAATATGGAAATAGTAGAAAGAATTAATATTTATTGTATAGTTATATGCCCAGTGCTGAATGAACTATGCACACGTGTGTGAAAGTTTCCACAGCAACCCTGAAGTGTTGGAATAATCATCCACTTTTGATAAAGAAACTGAGACTTATAGAATTTACCTAACAATTACTAACATAAGTGACAGAGTCCTGACTAGAACCCAAGTCTTTGTCCAAATTCAGGGCCCAATAGAAATAATTCTGTAATAAAAGATTTTTTTAAAAAAGGAATGATTCTGTAGATAATGCCTACACCTCAACTATCCCACAGAAATTTATGAAATAAAGAAGTAGCCACACTGTTTTGATAACAAGCTGTGCTTTGAGCTAGCATTCAATTTTAATGTTTGCTTGTTCCGTGCCCCTTACCAAAAGAACCCGAGGTGTTTGCTTTGCAATGTTGCTGCAGAAGCTGGGCTGAGGTGTGGTTTCTACCCCAGTCTCAGGAGGGGCCTTTTGTCTGCTGAGCCTCCAGAGTGGCTGCCAACCCATTTCCCTGCCCTCCTCGCTACCTTGTCTCCAGGGAGCTGCAGGAGAGACGGGTTCCCAGCTGTGGGAATAGCCTACGCCCCACCCGCAGCAAGGACCTGTCCTAGTGTCTGCTGTCTGAACCCTGCCACCGTGCTAGCAAAAGCTTGCCATGCATTTGCTCTAACTTCCATTTACCGATACGTATTTCTTGTATGTGAAAGTACATAAATGTCTTAATAATAAAAAAGGATTATCTTGGTATTATGCATTTATTGTTTAAGAACAACATTCTTTTATTTCCTCACATCATACTGTGTGTTGATCTTTCCACCCAGGCCGTCATCGATGGGTTATATATACAACAGAAATGAATGGCAAAAACACATTCTGGGAAGTGGATGGAAGCATGGTGCCTCCTGAATGGTAATCAACTTTTTATTTGTTTTGTCAATATTTGTTTCATTACAGAAACATTTATCAAATCTGTAAATTTTTAAGACAATCAGTGGTGGTCTTCAGAGCATCCATCTGGTTAAGGTAGTGGCGTAACAAGTTATCCTAAAACTTAAACAGCAAAAAATAAAAATAAAACAGCAGTTACACTCAGCTTCTTATTTTTACTTTTAACTTTCGTAGGCAGAGAAAGGAAGACAGGGCAAGCTCCCATCTGCTAGTTTACTTCTGCAGTGCATACAAGCACACTTTGGGGCCAGAGCCAGGAACCAAGAGTTCAGTCCGTGTCTCCCAGTGTGTGGCAGGAAGCCAGCTGTCTCAGCTGTTAGGTCAAGGAGTGCATTTGAGTGTTGAAATCAGAGGGCTGAAGCCGCATATCAAATCCAGGTTCTTCCATGTGGAGTGTTTACCCCTAACTTATCACTTAATTCCCTTTTCCCATGAGTTTCTGAAGTTCCCTCACGTGTCTCATAGTTTTTGCGGGCCAGTATCCTAGATGTGGCAAAGCAGACATAGTCTGCCTTTGCTCCTAGCTGGCTGGGACCCTAGCTAGGGCAGTAGAGTCATCTGGAGACGCGCTCCATGCAGAGTGGCCGTTGGAGCTGGCTGTAGGCCCGGGAGCAAAGCGGGAACTGTGGATCTGCTTCCCCTTCTTGTTGTCTGAGCTGCTTTAGGCAAGAGCTCTGAAAGCAAGAGCCAGGCGGAAGCCACACTGCCTGACCTGGCGTAAGCCTAGGAATCATCTATGTCACATCTGTACTCCCTTGGTTGAGGCTGGTAGAGAGCTCTGCCGAGTGTGTAGGGAGCAGACAGACCCTGTCTTGAGAGAGGGGTGTCAGCATCACTTTACATGCTGGCATAGGCGGTGGTGTGGCTGTCTCGGGGAGAAACCAGTTTGCTACAGTGTCATCTCTTGGTGGCTAAAGAGAAAGCCAAAGATAACTCCGACTCTGATCTAGTCATACAAATTAACTTTCAGCAAGTTCCTTAATGTCTTGACCACATAATTTTCTGTAAAATAACACCTGCAAGCTTTCTTAGCTCCCTGAAACCTCTATGATTTTATAAAATATGTATATTTTGAAGTGAAATTTTTAAAAGGTGTATTTATTTGTTTCGTGTGTTTATTGTATTGCTGCTGCCGGCTGGGCTCAGGCCTTGACCACGTACTTGCGCAGCGGGTACAGCTGCTCCTTCCGCTGCTGCTTCTTGTTCTTGAGGTTCTCGTGCTTGTTGAGGTGTTGCATGGCGCACGTCTTCTTGGGCCGCAGGTCCAGGGGCTTGTATTTCTTGCCCTGTAGAGCTTCCGGAGGTTTTCTCTGTGGTCTGGTCGATGACCGTGAGCACCCAGGCGATGGATTTGCAGACAACCGGATCTTGGGCAGCTCAGAAGCCACGCCACCAGAGACCTTGGTGATGCGTAGCTGTGACAGCTCCACTTTGAGGTCATCCAGTTGCTTCGGCAGGTCCTCCTCCTTTTCATGGAGATCTGAGCCTGCTTCTCAGAGGGAAAGAGAAAGAGAGAAGGGCCGATCTTGGCAACTGCCAAGATTTATTTATTTTTACTGGAAAGGCACACACAGAGAGGAGAGGCAGAAAGATCTGTCTGCTGCTTCGCTCTCCAAGTGAGCATAACGGCCGGAGCTAAGTCAATCTGAGGCCAAGATCCAACAGCTTCTTCCTGGTCTGCCACACAGGTGCAGGGTCCCAAGGCTTTGGGACATCCTCTACTGCTTTCCCACAAACAGGCCACAAACAGGGAGCTGGATGGGAAGTGTAGCAGCTGGGACACCAACAAATGCCTATATGGGGTCCCAGAGCATGCCAGGTGAGGATTTAGCCACTAGGGTATCATACCAGGCCCGAAATGAATTCTTAAGTACTTGTATTTGAAGTTTCAACTTTCATCTGAAATATTTCAGAGTACAACGTTTATATCTGTTTGATAGGTTACAGAGGCAATTTTTGCATGGTTGATATACAGTTAACTCCTGCAGATCATTTTCACTTGGTCTGGAAAATAGCACCAAGAAACAACCACTTAGAAAAATAATTGTATCAGGTTGGCTTGTGATGTTTTGTTTTATTTGAATTTGCTCATCAACAGTAGTTCTGGACTCTGAGTGGAAATGGGTTAATTTTCTTCCATTCTAAAAACTCACTTGGAAACCCAGGCACAGTAAGTCAGAGAAGTACAGATTTGAGACACGAGGGTAAGTCACGGGGCTCTATAGTATGCTGAAACCGTCAAAGAGGTTAACATGATCGGCTCTCCCTTGCTGCACCAGATGAGAACACTACCAGTAGTTTCTAGATAAGTTTTCAAAAGAAGCTAGAAATCTAGAAATCTTTGTGAGAATTGTCTTTCTCAGTATTAGTATATCAAATAAATAAGTTGACTATTTTTTTAATAGCGATTTTTAAAAAAATAGTGGTTTGGGCCCGGCGCGGTGGCGCAAGTGGTTGAGGGTCCTCGCCTGGCGCGCCCGGGATCCCATGTGGGCGCCGGTTCTAGTCCCGGCAGCCCCGCTTCCCTTCCGGCTCCCTGCCTGTGGCCTGGGAGAGCAGTCGAGGACGGCCCAAGGCTTTGGGACCCTGCACCCGCGTGGGAGACCCGGAGGGGGCTCCTGGCTTTGGATCGGCATGGTATCGGCCCGTTGCGCTCACTTGGGGAGTGAATCATCGGACGGAGGGTCTTCCTCTCTGTCTCTCCTCTCTGTATATCTGCCTTTCCAATGAAAAAATAATAAAAAATAAAATCTTTAAAAAAAAAAAAATAGTGGTTTATTTACCTGAAAGGCAGAGAGATCTTCCACCTGCTGGTTTGATGCACAGATTACTGTAACTGCTGAATGTGGGCAATATCAAAGCTGGGAGCTAACACTCTTACCTGGGTCTCCACATGAGTGACAGGAGGCAAGTCCATAGGCGTCATCCACTGCCACAGGCACTTGGGGGAGATGCTGGGTTGGAACAGAGTAGCTGAAATTCAGGCATCCTAAGCAACAGCTGAACCTTATCTTGCACTGTGCCCAGCCTGGGAATTGACAGTTTAAATACAGTGTGTGGCTTACCACAGTTCCCACAGTGATGGAGCTGTGCTGTATCTGCACTATCCAATAAGGTAACCACTAGACACATGTCACCTAGAGCACTTTATTGTTACGATTTCTATTAAAAGTGTCTTTGCTTGCAAGGCAGAGGGTGACAACTAGCACCTGCTAGTTCGCTTCTCAGTTGCCCGCGATTGCTGGGGCTTGGCCAAGGCAGAGCCAGGATCCAGGGATCCATTCCAGGGCTCCCCTAAGGGGAGTGGGCACCCAAGCATTTGAGCCGTCACCTGCTGGAATCAGCAGTGGGGCCAGGACTAAAACAACATATTTGTAAGATTTTATCCAGCACCGGTTTTCAATCTCTAGTCTGCCGCTTGGACTAATTAGGAACATTGACCTCTGCAAGTGAAGTCCTTTGAAGACCATGTTAATGGACGATGTCTTTATATAAAGCTCCTTGGTTTTTCCTGTGCAGCTCAGGTTAGGAACTTTCTCTTGCTGTGATCCAGGCTTGATTTGGGTTCTTTATAGCAGGAAGTAATATTCTGTGGTTCTGTTAAGATCTGAGCTTAAGAATCAGACCTGTCAGCCTTCTCTAGAGGGGCATTCTGTGTGTTTAGAAGGACTTACTGAGACCTGGGATCCCATGTAGGACATAGGCCTTCAGTGCTGAGGTTGCCTTGTGTTGTTTGATCTTTCAAACAATGGAGCCCGTGAAGTTGTAGATGTCCAGGGCATGTGGTTCATCCTGTTCACATACACAGTCTTCAAAACCCGGGCTCATGTAGTCCTGGTGCTCAGGGACCTCCTTATTGGGGTTGGAGCTGGAGGGAGGCTGATTTAAAGAATGTGGGGTGAAACATTTAAAATAATAAGACAGTTTAAAAACCTGAAAATGAAAGTACCCTATTCAGCCAGGCAAGTCCCTTTATGTTGCCTGAGATCATATGGAAAAGAAGCTAAGGGGGCCCAGTGCCAGGGTGTAGTAAGCTAAGCCTCCACCTGTGGCACCAGCGTCCCATATGGGCACCAGTTCTATTCTGGCTACTCTATTTCTGATCCTGCTCTCTGCTAATGGCCTTGGTAAGTGTAGCAGAAATTGGAAGATCTCCGTCTCTCCTCCTAACTCTATCTTTCCAAATAAAAATAAAGCAAATCTTTATTAAAAAAGGAAAAAATCTATGAACAATAGAACATCAAGGGACTCTAGCAGGTGCCTGTGGGTAATTGAGGACACAGGCTCCTAGAGAATGAGTACTTTGGAGACCTTGCTAGTGTGGGAAGCTTAAAGGCTTTTCATGTGTCTTTTTTGGATAATTATTTCTTTTTTTTCCATTTTTTAATTATATTTTTGATAATCTTTACATAGTTAATTAGGGTAAAAAGGCTCAAGGGCTATATGAAAGTGGGTAAGACTATTATTTCAGTATTGTTTCCTTCATATATCTGAAGTAAAGGGAGATTTTGAGGGAGAAGCCCCACCCAGTTTCCCACCCATCTATTTATTTATTTTTAAAGCTTAATTTTTATTGAAAGGCAGATTTATGGAGAAGAGAAACAGAGAGAATGAACTCCCATCTGTTAGTTCACTCCTCAAATGGCCACAACAGCTGGAGCTGAGCTGATCTGAAGCCAGGAGCCTTTTCCAGGTCTCCCATGTGGGTGCAGGGTCTCAAGGCTTTCGGCTGTCCTCCACTCTTCCCAGTCCACAGGCAGGGAACTGGATGGGAAGTGGAGCAGCCAAAACATAAACTGGCACCATATGGGATCACGGTGCTTGTAGTGGAGGATTAGCCAGTTGAGCTTTCACACCAGGCCTTTCTCATGTGTTTTTGTGGAGACCAGAGTCGGTGAACAAGCTGTCATGTTTCTCAGTCCCCACCACCACATACTGCTGTGTGCCTTGTATTGTAGAAT